TTGTCTAGCACTTGCCCTGAGAACACAAAACATTCCAAAGTCCTGCAGACTAAGCTATTGAAACTCCTGTAGTGGTTACTCAATTGCTCAAAAATGTAGAACCCATGTCCATGTTCATCCACTGAAGTGGTTTCCTGAAAGCCAGAGAAGTCACAGGGCATTCATGTTCGCAATACTGGATCCAAAAGGTTCATCCTTTGAGGAACATTGTTACTTACCTGGTTGAAAATTATGCTTTAGGAATTATCTAAAACTATTAAAGAGTCTTCTGAGTATGTTTCTATTTTCTGTCTCTGTTACTGTTTCACTGTGACATATCACTGAGCTAAGCTGTTCATGTGAGGATCTGAAAAGCCTGTAGAAATTATTTTACATGTGTGCAAATGCAAAGAGGGCATTTGCAGAGGGCTGGAGCCCCTCTGCTCTGGAGACAGGCTGAGAGAGATGGAGGTGTTCAGCCTGGAGAAGAGAAGGCTCTGTGGAGAGCTTAGAGCTCCTGGAAGGGCTGTGAGAGAGCTGGAGAGGGACTTTTGCCAAGGGCACACAGTGATAGGACAAGGGGGAATGACTTCCCACTGACAGAGGGCAGTGCTGGATCGGATGCTGGGGAGAAATTCTTCCCTGTGAGGGTGGTAAGGCCTTGGCACAGGTTTCCCAGAGGAGCTGTGGATGTCTCTGAGGAGCCAGATCTGAAGTCAGCAGCTCTGCCTGCTGGAAGGAGCCACACACATCCACCAAAGTGAGTGAAATTTAATACTACCCTGTAAAACAAGGACAGAGTGAAACCAGGAGAATTCATGAAACTACTGGACAAACCAGAACTGGTTTCACATATCTAAAGAAATACCATGGACAGGTGTTGTCATATCATAAAGGGATGCTGCAGAAATCACAGCATAAATTCATAAACATCACTGGAAACTGAGAGCCCTGATTTTCATGCAATGTTGCTCTGCTTTTCCTCAGCCCCTGTCAATGGGCTTCAGTGGAATCACTCCCAGTTTGTGCAGTTTAAACTATGGCTTAACACTTAGGAAAAAGAAAAAATGACAGCCTGCTCATCCCAGCCCTCTGTTCTTCCCTCTCATCAGCACTTTTTGTACAGGCTGAGGGACCATCCAGTTTTCCTTCAGAAGAGAACTTAGTCACTTGTCACCTGCTTGACACAAGCCAAGTATTTTCCTTACATTGTGAGATCCACCCAAGTCCAAACACTGGCCATATTTAAAGCTTGCCTAAGGGTGCCATGGGAGAGCTAAATGGTTATATTAGTGCCAGCACCTCTTCCATAAACAGCTGCCTTCCAGATCAGTCTCCACTTAGGCTTTGCAGTGAGAATCCTGTTGGAACCCCTCATTTGGCAACAAGCAATACCAGACTCCTGTGGATTGCTCCCTGGGAAGCACAGCCTATGCTTGCTTCTCTCACAGCAGAGCTTGTCCCAGAGTGCTGCATGGAGGCCCTGCAGTTGCCACTTGCTTACGTGACCTGAGCACAGGAATGCAGAGACCTCTCATTAGCAGTGTGGCTCATTTCATTGCTAAACAAGCACATTCACTTGCAGTTCAAGCTGTCTCTGCTGGGATTTCAGAGAAACTAGCAAATATTTCCATTTTCTTTCCTGCCCCTCCTTCAATCTTACCCAATGTGTCACTGCCTTTCGACTAAATCCTTCACTGCTGCCTTGCAAGGAGGAATTCTGCCAGCTCATCCTGGCTGGCTGTAAGCCCTATCCTTTGCCATTCTAGGTTTAAGAGGATGATCGATCCCCTGCTGATGCCCTCTCTCTGTATTTCCTTAGGCCATTCAGCTGTATCTTTTCCTTGCTCCACTCACTTTGCAAGGCTTTTTCACAATAGGTGGGGAATAGGTGGGAAAGGAAACTTTTCATCTAGCTGGTTTGAGTGCTGCATGCGACTGCAGCTCCTCTTCCTAAAAAGAGGAGAGGTTTCAGTGGTAAGACTCCTTCCTGAAGAGGTTGGAGTGGGAAGGCAGGACCCAGGGCATTCCTGCACTTCCAAATTCCAGGCTGGATATGGTGGGCAGCACCTGAGAGGAGACCTGCCCAAGCCTGCTCTGCCTGACACCTGCACCAGCCACAGCTTGGAGTCATCTTTCATCCCCCCTATGTCACCGTGCACGTCCCACCAAGCTCTGGACATTCCCTCAATGCACGTGGAGTTCCACACCCTCCCTAATTTGTGCAATAACCTGACTACTCTTGGCTCTCATGAGCTCATCACACTTATTTATACACAGGGTTAAGACCACGGGCTCAGTGGGCTGTAGAAACCACGTTATTAATTGCACAGTGCCAGATGTGGGAGAGGTTTCCCAGAATGAGTGAAACAGGGGCGTCTACCCTACAGTTTTGCAATACAGAGATTAAATCCTGGACAGGAATGTTATTAGATGAAAACAAACCTTCAGGAAACTTACACCTCAGCTCAGCTGCAACCCTATTCTGTACAAGGTGTTTAATTAAACCCAAGCCAGGTCAGGGTAAAGCACTGCCAATGTTGGATGGATCCTGATGCTCTTACATCAAATTCCATAGGGCATTTCACCACTGCCTCCAGCCTCGGTTAGGAGACACACATCCACCCCACCGTTTTCTGAAACCTCAGGCTAAATCCTGTTTTTCCATTCTCTCCCCTTTCTCTGTAGGAAAATGTCTTGCTTGTGCTTGTTCTGTGGACAAACCTGTAAAACAGTTCTTTTGTTGGCTTTAAAAGCCATTCTCCAGATTTTTTTTTTTTCAGGATATTTTCATTTTTAACCATCACTTGGATCACAGCCAGTAAGAAACATTCACTTCTTAAACTTTACAGCCTGGTACCATCCTCACCTTCTCCTGCTCTGCTTATCTCGGTGTCACTAAGGAATGCAGGGCTCAGCCTGAGAATTCCTGCGGGCAGAGGGGCTTTGTCCAGCCCTGAATCGCCCCCGGGGAGGGGGCGTCTGCTTCAGCTCTCTTTGCATTACCCGTGTGAAAAGGCTGACAGGAACGCCTGCCTTTGCTGACCGCTCCCTCAGGTCGTCACCGAAACTCTCAGAAAAGCGGAAAAAAGAATAAAAGACTGCCGGCTGTTAGCAGATATTTCAAAGAAACTTGTGAACGAGGACTGCTGCCTGCCCTGGGAAAGCTCCACCAGTACCTGGGCAGCTGCCTGAGATGCAGCACCATAGCAGAAATATTTCAGATGATGAGAGTTTGCAGCTAAGCAAAGAGCTGGGAAAATACAATCGTCACAAAATCTGAGCAACCAAAAAAGCAGAAACAAAGATAGAAAATAAAAATAACCAAAGCTCATTTTCCAAGGGTGCTCTGCCTCTTGCAACAGGTTCTCTGTATGCCTCAGAAATCAAGGGCCTCTGGGCAAAGAAAACCTCCACTTCCCTTCCACCTTCACCAAAACGAGCAGCTGCTTTCCCAGTCTGACAGTCTGCTCGACTCAGTCTCCAAAATGAAGTCAGTAAGGATGAACTCATTAAAATTAAGGCAGCTTTTGGCTCACCGAGTTTCCTGAAGTATTTTTTGTAAAATACTAAAATCAATACGATAACCAATAACCCTAAAATAAGCAATGAAAATTCACTGTCTGTAAATACCGAGCTAAGGGTAGCAAACACAAGAATTTAATAGTCCAGGACAAAGCCAGGCCACCTCCCTGCTCCTCGGCTTCCCAAAGAGCAGCACCGCAGCCAGCAGCTCTGCGAAAGCCAGAGGGAAGGCAGGGTTTCCACCGGCCTGTCTGGAGCTGGGCTTTCTTCCTCTTATACCAAATTCTTCAGATTTTTGTAACCTGTTCCACTTTGCCCTTTGAACCGCAGCGAGCGCAGAGCTCTGGAGGTACCTGCGGGCGCGCACGTGCCGGGCCCGGCTGCCCCGCTCCGCCTGCGCCACCAGGGTCAATGGTGGGATTAGCCCCTCATTTAGGAAACCATCTGTCTTGCCCTAGAGCCGTTCCGCAGGGGAACAACATGTGCACCTCGCCCAGCCTCCAAGGGAACGGCAATGGCTCCAGAGAGTCCTACTGGAAGCCCCTATCTCTGTTCTGTGGATGTTCTGGCGTTTTTCAAGGCTCTCTCCCCACGCACATAATGACCCACATGGTCAGTAGATAAGGTTTGCCTAATGTGTACTTGCAGACTCAACGTTTTTGGGCAAGCAAGACCTTTATCTGCACTTTAGCACTGAAGTGTACAGGGAAATGTACAGGTCGGTGCTGCCTTCACGTCAGGGATCTGTTTTGTTGCACCGATAAAGGAAAAACACTGACTACTCTTCTCCTTGGAAATGTTAACAATTAGTTGTCCTACAGTAGCAACAGAACAACCACCCTTTTGCTTTTACTTTCGAACAATCTCCATCAACTCATCCCTTTCTGGGATCATTTCCCTGACTTTATTCTCTGCTCTCGATCTAATTATTGTTTGAATTGTGGGAATGCTGAAAAACCCAGCTCGGGGCAGGTCCCTCAGCGGGAGATGGTTTATGTTGTCAGTTTTACTTATCCAGCAAAGGATGAGAGAAGCAGCAGGAAGAGAATTCTCCCAAACCATGTGGTACACAGATGCAGAACGGAGAACACAACCCACGCACAGCGGGACTAGGAGAGGCCTCCCAAAGGCCGTCGCACGGGGAGTGAGATGCCTTATGCCCTCTCCATCGGCAGAGAGAATTTCTTTTCTGCGGGAGAAACAGGTGAAAGTTTCACTTCTAACATATCCTAAGGGCCTCCTTGGAAAAGTAATTTGTCATGCGTGAACTTTTGCAGGATTTACTCCCCAAGAGCAAGAGTCCGTAGAAATTTAAACACTTGAAGCCCCTTATTGGCGCCTAAAGAGAGACCAAAGCTCATGTCAGCAGGCAGAGCCTCAGCTTTACATCATCCTGACCTGCCAACAAAGGACCACAACAATTCCTCTCCCTCCCCCCGTCGGTAGAAGACGTGAGAGTTTGGACTATCGACACTGATCTTTTCCTTTTACCCCCCTCTGCTTAGACAAAGATAGACAGGAGCAGCCCTGCCTGAGTGTTGGGAAATAAGAGCCCTCCCTTCCACCCACCTCCTGCTAGGGCCAAGGGAGCGGGGAAAGCTGCCCGGAGCCGCCCCCTCTCAAAGCTGGATGCGGAGGAGCGAGCCTGGAACAAACCTCGCCTGAGCTTGTGGGCAGAGCTGGGAGCAGGGAAAGCCGGGAACAGAAGAGAGGCAGTTCACGCTGCCGGCTGAGTCACCCCAAGTGTATAAAAGCAAGGCCGAGCAGACGGAGCCGCTCCGAGCGGAGGCACGAGGCACCCGGACTTTTGGACAGGTACGTGCAAGCGGATGCGGTTTGAGGGCAAGGATTAAGATTAAAACTAAGATTGAAATTCAGCAGCTCAATTCCTCCCATCCTCTCCCTGCCAATATGCTGCGGAGCAGGAGATCCAGCGGCTCCGGTGACCGGGAAGCCCTGAGGCTTCTTGGAGCTTGCATGGTTCCGTCTGACGAAAAGGACACAGGCAAACACAACGCATTGTTTTGGTGGTCCGTGTATACTATTTTGCTGGTCCCTACTTCAAACCTGGGATGGCAGCAAAGGATAACGGTCTGGGCAAGACCTGGCATCATTCAGAGAACAACATGGAGCAATTAAACTTTGGAATAAGTCTGAGATATTTCATAATACGTGGGGCTTTGGTTACCACCCTACTCTGTAATATATTTCTGGACGAGGAATCATTTTGTTGCCGGGAAGCGCAAAAGACAGCTCAACAAGAAAAGCACGAGTTTAGGACTGGGGTTAATTCCTTCCTCTGACACACATTACCTGTGGGGACCTCGCACAAGTAACTAAGGACTTTTTTTTTTTTTTTACAAAGACCGAAGCAGGGGTGGGAGGAGGGAGCACAGAGGGAGCTGTAACACTAAATACCACGTTTCTTGGCGCTCAGGCCTCTGGGGCCCTGATCCAGGAGCGTACTCAGCTTCTGACCACTTCCACTGAAATGTGGTTCAGGAGCTGCATTTTCAGTGCATCCTTTCCCAGCAGCTGGGCTGTGCAGCCTGTCTGTGGCTCTCATCTACCGCAGGGCCCAGCCCTGCTGCTGCCTGGCAGACAGGCTGTGGGCACTGCCAGCTGCTCAGTAGCCCCAAGCCCACTGTGGGGTTTCTCTAGGACTGTCCTCAGAATGGGGCAGAACTACCCTGGTAGAACACACACAAGTCCCTGCTTTTTCTATTCCAGCTTCTGCTAAGGAAAGGAAAGGCCTTCCTAAAACAGGAAAGGCACTTTTACCTGCCCACTCCAACACAACTCAGCCCAGTTTGGGGTCCTGGGCTTTAAAGTTTGGCAACTCTTCTCTGTCCTTGGATCATTCATTTGCTTTGCACCACCTCACAGGAAACAGTCCCTTGCTACAGGCACATTGAACCCGGTTGTTTGGGCATCACCTCACTGGAAATTCTTCCCACTGGGCTGGCCAAACTGGACAGCAGGACAACCTGCTGGCAATGAGGGTCCTGGTGTGGGATACAACTTGGTTCATGCTTCCTGCATGAATGATTGTAGGCACACTTAGACTAAGACTGCATGATACTTCTGTCCCCAAGGATTCATGTTTACTTAGGCTTAATTACAGAAGAGCTATTAATTATCACTTATTACTGTCTGGATATAATAAAGGGCTAATAAAATGTTTTTCTTTTAAAAAGTTTTTAGATGACTGGAGGGATTTTAATTTAAATGTTGATGCTTTGTTTTCCCCTCCCTGAAACAAAAAGGAAACAGATCTTGCAAACTGCAAGCACCTGGGAGAAGTATGTTGTCACCCTTGCTCATCCTCCCTCTGCTGCTGGGGACCACAGCACATGGACCAGTGAGCAGAGCAGCATCCAGGGATGTCACCACCTTTTTCCAGCTGGCTCAGGATGACACTTGGGAGAATGTTAATCTCACCAGCATGTCTTGTGAGGATCAGAAGAACAGGACCTGGATCACCCTGCAGCTGACCAACAGCAGCCTGACAGCATTCCCCATCTGCCTTCCAGAGGCCCTGGAGACCTTGGATCTCAGCAATAACCTCTTGGAAGAGATGAATGGCACAGAGATAGCAAAGCTCCCACAGCTGCGTGTCCTCTCACTGAGGCACAACCACCTCTGGTCAGTGAGGTGGGGATCTGAAACCCTCAGCAGTCTCCGCAAGCTGGACTTGAGCTTTAATAAGCTGTCATCTGTGCCATCCTGCCATGGTTCTGCCCTGCCTAACCTGAGGTGGTTGTCCTTGGCTGGAAATCCCCTGATTGAAATCCAGCCACTGGCTTTTTCCTGCTACCCTCAGCTGCAGGTCTTGAACCTCTCTGCAACGCTGCTCGGGCAGGATGACAGCAGAGGAATTAGGGACTCTGCTTTTACTATCAGCACAGATCTCAACGAGGCCATGAACAGTTCTCGAAACTCCATTAATGTGCTTGATCTGAGTGGGACTTTTTTTGAGAAATGTAAGTGTCTGGGTTTCCTGCTATAAACACAAGGCTTGGTCAGGCTGGGGAGCAGAAGCCTTGCTGGGACGATGGCTCCCATCCTGGCTGAGCCTGGAGTGCAGGGGGAACACCCCACACTGAAAGCTACAAACAGCTGGTCCAGGCATGCAAGGCACTCTCACACAAAGCAGCCTCCCAGAGGAAGGGCAGAGACCAAACACCATGAGACAGGACAATTTGTCCCAGTGTAGTCAGCCACCTCCATCCTAATCCCACTGTCTGCTACTGACAGTCATCTCCTTGTCAGCCCTGGGATTAGTTTTGGGAAGCACAGAAGGAAGTTAGTTTCTCTTTCCAGACAGGCTGTTGAAATCTTTCTTTGTCCCCACAGCTACAGTCAGCTTTTAGAGCTGCTTTGAAGTAGCACAGAGAGAGACTTTTTGTGCCTTCCACAGCCGGCTGAATACATCCGCTGAGGGGGGAGACAATCCCTGCCCCAAGCAATCCACAGGAGGTTTTTTCCCTTCTGCCCTGCCAGCCTCAGTTTATACCTGAGGTGCTGAGACACACAGATGTGAGATGCCTTGCCTAGCTGCTCTCAGCCTGGGGCAGGGCCAGGGCCTCCTCAAGCTAGAGGCTTCACTTCAACTCACATTAAACAGCTGCACCACCAAATTTCCTCCATGAATTTGCCTAATCCCTCTTGTGGTAGTGAGTTACCCTATTGAGTCATGGGATAGAAAGGCCCTTTCGTACAAGACCTATTCTTTCAGTTTCATGCCTCTCGGCTCTTTTTCCTGTGCTAGGAGAAATAAGTGATTTGCCTTTCTTGCACCAGTCAGGACCTTGTAGACCACTTTCCCAAACAGAGAAATCCTTGTTCTTTAATTTCACCCAATAAGAAATCTATTCCATATCTCTTATCAGCTTTGTTGTCTTATTTTCCCCTCTTTTCCTCTGCCTTATGACAGTCTGACCTGCAGGGACTATAACAAAAATGCAGCTGCATGGGTGTTTACACACTGGTGTACTGACCTTTTCTATTCCTCTCCCAAAGAGAATAGCTGCATAAGGTGACAGATACTTTATATCTATGAATTCAAACCCTTTTCCTAGGCAGAAATCCACAGGAATGCTCTGTTCAGGCAATAGGTGTAAATATTTTTCTGTTTCAGTTCAACCAGAGTGGGCCAGAGATTTGACCAGCCTCAGATCACTTCACCTGACAAACATGCCACGGTTAAGAAGCCTCGGCAGCGACATCTTCAAGTCTCTGCCTGGTCTCCAAGAACTGCACTGTCAGGACTCCCGTTCTCTGGGTTCCGTGCAGACAGAGATGTTTGACAGCGCTCCTCATCTGAGCCATCTCTCATTTGAGAAGTGAGTTGGGGTTTTTTGTCCTTCCTTTCACAATACTGCCTTTGCCTCACAGCGCTGTGGTGCCTGGGAGCTGACTTGAATAGTTTTATCAGATTTAGGAAGGAGGTGTGGACTTGCTGTCTTTGCCATGTAAAATCTGTGATCTGGCCTGATAAAGCTGATACTGCTCAAAGAGGCAGCATGGGACTCATAGCACAATTAATTGTTGCTTGAGGTTGTATCCATTGTGTTCCATCTCCTCTGCCTTATCTCCCTGTCCAATGGATGAATTCACCCAGCCTGTTTAGATCAGCACAGATCCACTGAACCCTGCTTGTGATAAAGACCAGGCTTCCAAGGGCAATATCCCATCAGAGGAGAAGCAGGTAACTGAGGGTTCCCTGCTCTGCAAGGATGAGTGGTGACAGGTCTCCAAAACCTGCATCTCAGAAGCAGACAAAAATCCTGTCCCTCCCACTTTTGGTGTGAGAGTTTAATATAGCTCCTTGTTCATCATTAGTAAAAGCAATGTTTTAGTCCTCATTCTAAGGGTAGCACCTCTTGGTACATCACATACCTGAAATACTAAGAGGGACAAAAGTCCGAAAGTGATTTATCAAAATAAGAGCACACAGTGTGTGAAGTGCACAAAGAGCAGTCAGCATAAAGGAAAAAATCTGGAGAGCACTTTGAAACATTTTTATAATGGCGACCCAGATATAATCATATCAGAAAACAAGCACTAGAGCACTGGCTGTGCCTAGAAACCAGTTTCAGGAAAATAAACCCATACAAAGCAAATATCCTATGGATTCCATTCCCGCTTGTTTGTCCTACTGAATTTACACATCACTTTCCAACACTTGCAGGAATACCAGTTCAAAGTGCTAAAAATCATGCCTAAACTTAAAGGAATTAAAGTCCTAGAAAAAAGAGAGCATCTTCTGAGCATGCAGGGTGGTGGGTTTAATAACTGGTTACTGCCAAGGGGACTGGGAATATTGCTTTGTGCCTTACACAACACTAAGGGTAAGGGATACTATGCACACTCCAGTCGTTGGAAGGTAGCTCAGCGTTTTTTAATTATTGCATTTGTCTTCTTGTAGCTGTAACCTGAGTTCCTTTAATCCTTGGAACACCAATTCATCGGATGGCATCACAATCAACTTGTATGGGAATCCTTTGCTGTGCAACTGCCAGCTCTCCTGGCTGCTGTCCAAGCCCAAGAAAGTTATTCTGCAAAAGTAAGTGAGCTCAAGGAGATCAAGTAATGCTCTTCAGAAACAACTTCAGTGTGCAGGTTGTTTGGGGACCAAACATTCACCACCATTCACTAAGTTATTCAAATTCCTTGTGTGTTCTTCCCTTCCACAAGAAGTAGAAGTGCAAAATAATGTCCTTTTCAGGGACAAAGCATAAAGTGTTATTAGCTGTGGATTCTGCTTTAAGGTGAGAATATTTTCTTTCTGTTTTAGACCATATTTCACATTTTTCCATATTACCTGAAGATAGAAAATGAGCTGTCTAGATGTGCCAGCAGAAACTGGAAAACTTTGAATGATCTTTAACAAATTTTCTCCTCACCCTGCTACTTGCAAAGCTTACATCACCACCAGCAGTCAACAAAACCCCTTGCAAATAGCACCATTTCTCACCTATTGTTTTCATGCTCCCCTACAGTTTTACAGACTAATTACAGTAAGCTGCAGTTAAAAGAAATATTTGCATATAAATGGTCTCTCTTCCTTTTCAAAGGCCACCAAGAAGATTTGTCATCAAATCTCTCAGAAAGCAGGGAAGTAGCTTGTTGAAAATAGAGTTTTATGTCGGGATGGGCTTAGCAATTGCATTCTTTACCAAAACTTCAGTGTCTGAGTAAATAAAGAATTCGATGTTAGTCATTTAAAAGTCCCGCCCCACCTCCAGCTACCAAAACCAGATGGATTAAGAATTCTGGGAATTCTGTTACAGCTCTCTGCATGTGTTCCCTTGTTACTGCTGCATTGAAGTCTGACCCTTTAAGACAAGTTGAATCCCGAGGCCCTTTGCTTAAGTTCACAGCCATTGTTGTACCAAAGGACACTTCCCCTCGGGCATAAGATATCCCTGCACCTTACGAAACCAAAAAGCCAGTTCCGGCTAAATTCCACAGTCAGTGCCGGCTAAATTCCACAGTCAGTGCTGTGGGAAGCTGCCTGGACTGTTAAGACAATCTAGCTTTGGTCTAGGCTTCACACTCTCACTAACATAAAGATGGTTCTGTCAGCAGGTCACCAATTCCAATCCAAGCAGCCTACAGAAACCCGTAATGTTCTTCTGGACCTTAACTATTCTGGTTTCCCTCTGCAGGGCTTGGGAGACTTTTTGCACATCCCAGGAAGATTTGGGCAGACCTTCGACATCCTTTTCACTGCTGGAGCTCTACAAAAAATGCCAGTCAGAGAGCAATGTTACACAGTCAGATTCAAACACAGCCCTTCCTGATCGTGATGCTTTCAACTTCACCAGTGATGATGCCTCTGCTGTAGTAACAACAGACTCAGCTCTATTGACCACAGATTTGACTCACACCAGCTCCCTATTCCAGAGGGATGTGGTGAGCACTGCAGAATCCAACCCAATGCTAACCAAAGACACCTATACCAGCTCCCTAATCCAGAGGGATGTGGTGAGCATGACAGCATCCAATCCAACAGAGCCCATCCTAACAAAGGCCAACAGTTCCTCCCACAAGGTGGAGGCAGTTTTGGAATCCACAAGCAGTACCCCTTCCTTGGCATCTGTAACTTCCTTCCCAGTTTTTTTCCCAGACCTCTTTGCTCAGTCCCCAGACCACAGCTCCACAAGTCCAACTGGAACAAGTGGAACAGAACAGCTACAGAGAGGGCTCAGAACAACCGACATGACATTCCCCCGGGAAGGGCCATTGAACCAGAGTACCAGTGATTATTCCGCTGGAGGAACAGGAGTCCCCCACACCACCAACCACCACACTCATTCCTTTACCACCTATGCCAGGGAAGGTGCCCCCCAAACGAGCCTCCCACAGCTGAACTCCACAAGGAGCAGTGCCCACTCAGAGCCGTCACCACATTATACCGATGACTACGACTACGATGAACAATCAAAGGAGGAAACCCCGGTGCAAACAGCCCAGGTCGCCTGTGACTACAATCCTTGCAGGCACCTGCAGAAGCCATGCAGGGAACTCCAGAACATATCCCAGTGTTCATGTCCTGGCACATCGAGGGAAGATGAGATTCCAGACCCACCCAGGCTCAGAGAGGTGATTGAAATCACTGACAGCTCTGCACAGATACGCTGGTGTGCCCCATATTCAGTTGTTCACAGCTATGAGCTGATGCTTCATGACCAAGACAATGAGGACAGGAAGTTTGTCATGGACAACATCTACCCCACGGCCAGGCAGTACACTCTGTACAACCTGCTGCCATTCACCACTTACCGTATCTGTGTGACAGCCTCCAACAAAGCAGGGTCAAGCCAGACAACAGACCAGGAAATTCCAGGTAATTCGTGCACCAGCTTTAAAACAAAACCCAGCTACAAGTATGTTTTTGCTGGTCTGTCTGCAGCAAGTGGACTCTTTCTCATTACCACAATTATTTTGTCTGTATGTCTGTGTAAGGCATGTAAAAAGCCTCAGAGTGAGCATTATGGCACACACTTAGTCTCCTACAAGAACCCAGCATTTGATTATCCCTTAAAACTGCAAACCTCTAATTAGCTCTGGGTGATTGTTCTACACATTCAAAATTCACTATCTCCATCACCTTGGTGTGTTTTTGTGAGACTCTGACAGTGTCCTTCAGCAAAACCATAACCCTGACATTTCTAAGGGAGAGAAAACCACCAATAAAAGAAAAACTAATAATGAAGGCAGTCAACCAGAAAAAAGTCTTTGGACTCCTGTTCTTGTGCTCAGCAGCAGCAAGCCTGGACACTAACTCTGAAAAGTTGTTTTTGTAATCACCTACAAATAGAGTAGCATAAATTTCACACAGTGAGAAGCTGCTTGGCCAGCTGTCTGCCTCCAGTATCTCTCATGAACACAGTCAGATGAGAGCTGTAATCCAAGGTGCATTAGGCTTAGCAAGATGTACTCTGCTTTTATTCACAGAGCAAAGCTGGGGGTTCAGTTTTTTTAAAGGTATTATCCATAAAGAGTACAGCTGAAAAGAGTGAGTGGGTTCAGTGACAAGATGTTGTGCAGATCTAACTCGTCTAAGTAAATGTAGTGGATGCAGATGATCAACCTAACTTCAGTTCGGGAAAAAGAAACATGAAATTTAATTGTAGGAACTGATTGTGCAGGATCTGTAGGTTAGGGGTAATTGTTTTGTTATGACTTTTTATGAGGTTGTCCACAGCTGAGCCTCCTGAGTGCTTCCCCAAAACAAGCTCACAGGCAGTGGGAGGTTTGCAGTACAGTAGTGACCCACAGAACGGGGGAGGGGAGCATCCCTTCCAAATGTTAGCATTTGCTTCCCAGTGGATTTTAAGCAGAGAGGATGTTCCATCCCAATCATCCATCCCATCTACAGATTTAGCAGCTGACGATTTACCTCATACAGAGGCAAAAAGCCAAGTAATGAAGCAATTTAATGTGTGTGCAGCTGAGGCTTGAAAAACCCAAATCCCCTGCACTTGCAGACAGTTCTGCAGATACCTTTCAAATGAACTCTTGAGTGCCAATTTCTGTACAATAATAGTAAGAAATGCTGACAATCCCAACTTTGAGCTTGCCATTGGAATCCAAAGAGGTGTCCCAGTCTGATATTTCCCCATAGGCTTCAGTTCCAGGAGCTGCCTGTTCCTGCTGTACAGACACAACGCATAAAACCCCCTGAACTCTGAGGGGAAGGTGCTGAAGTGTGTAAAAGAGTCTGTGTTGCATTCTTTTTGGGTTTTTAATGCTTTCAGTATTACTGAAATAAAAGCCACAGAGCTATGTTGTGATTTTTTATTAAAGACATGGATCTTGGTGTTGTCTTTACCATCTACAGTGTTTAGCCTGAGAAATTAACTCCTTTTGTTATTTTAGAATTAACTTTCAACATGTAGTAAGGAAATGTTTTTACGCTGGTAGATTTGTGTACTCTGATGTCCCAAGAGCTTTCATTTTGTATGTGGCAGAAGGAGGCTTGCTTCTTGGCACCATTATAGGCTTGCAGTCCTTTCCTGGGAATTTGTCCTCTCCCCAGCACCGCACCAGGAATGACACCATCACTGGACCGATGCAGATCTGCCATGTCTGCCCCAAGTTTACCTGAGCCCCATGACTCAAACTTATAATAGAAGTGAAATGCAAATGAAGAAGGCAGGATGGGGTCACCTTTCACTTTGAAAATCTCTTATTTTCACATTCTGGTAGTTCAAAATTTTCTCTGCTTGGACCTAGGTTTTTATACTTATTTCTGGCCTGGTTCTCCTGCATTTTCTCAAGGATTTAGTGAACGGGTACATATGATTGTCATTTGAAGTGAGCAAGTGAGCCAAAGACTCATTATCCTGAACTGGGGCAGAGATCATACATTCCCTTGTGCTTGTACAGCATAGTTCTAGGAGACCTTGACTGGGGTGATTTGTTTTACCAGAAACAAAGCAAAATTCAAGATCTGTGAATAGCAATTTATATTGTCTTGAAGATTAGCTCCAGAGAAGAGTAGGAAAAAAAGATTGCTGCAACTTAAATATGAGCTAGTCCAAAGCAAGGGGACACCATTTAAACTGAGATATTGGGAGGACATATCTCACTACCCTTTACCACACTGCAGCTCATAATCACTGAACTAGGAAGTTCATCACAATTTATTTCTCCAAACAGCTCTCACTCCAGCCTCTCCTGAATTTCACAGCCAAGGGAACACATTAGATCCTCCCATTCTTTTAAGGTGCCGTTTCTGGGAGCCACACAAATATACAAGTCCTGCTCCCACAGCCCCTACTTGTTCCAGCTTAAGCAGCCCAATTCCATCTGAGCTGATGAATCATCCTGAAGCACAGATGCCCCAGCCAGGGGCAGTGCCTCTCTCTTGCCCAGTAACACTCAATCCTTCCACAAGCGGAATGTATGGAATGCATGAGATGTAGCAGCAGGGTTAAAAACATGGGATTTGTATTTATCACCACCTGTGAGAAGTATCAGTGCTTTAAATGCAGATTTTTGGGGTGGGTTTTGTTTGTTTGCTTGTTTGTTTCATTGGTTGGTTGTTTTGGTTTTGGGTGGTTTTTTTTGTTGTTGTTGTTGTTTTTTGGTTTTTTGGGTTGTTTTTTTTTTTCTACTCCCATTTTGTGTTTTCACCAGGATTCATTTTAGTAATGACCAACTAAACTCTTATTCCAGTGGAGGGAGCTCTCAGAGAGCTGCTCGCTCGGGAATGAGGCAGTGAGTGGAGCAAAGCCACCCATGGGCTGCACAGAAACTTTCCTGGTAAAGCCATGTTAGGGAGCTGCCCAGCTGTGCTCTGCCTGCTTCTTCCTCCCCCTTTTCCTGATTGCACCCAACAGCAAATCTTGTTTGTACCTCCAGCTTTGGCAGTGTGTCTGGATTACCCAAACATCTCTGAAACAATTTTCAATAGCTATCAAAAGCCAGCATATAAAAAAATATTACTAAAACTTCACTTACTGTTGCACAGTTCCACTTGTTCTGTTCTCTGGGAGGAAGATTGCTCGGAGGAAGTGCAGAGAGCATTGAAATACAGTTTTTGAACAGCTTGTGTAGCTTTTTCTGTGTTTTTTCTTTCTCAGAAAAAAGTCTTATCAAGACCCTTCTCCACTCACTTGTGTTTGTCTTCTTCCCAAAAACCAAGTCCAAGCAGAGTCCACAACAGCCAGCAGTGCCTGTGGGTGCATCTCCTGGTTGTCAAGGCAGAAGTGCACAATGCTCCATCTCTAACAGCACTTGCAAATCAGTCGCTGAGTCTCACAGTCTCCCAGAAGAAACATTCTGGGAAATGGAACTGATGCCCTCCATACAGGAAAAACAAAGGCTCTTTAAGGGTCAGAACTCTTGCTGGCTATGCGGGAGCAGAGAGGGACACCCACCTTGCTTTTGGTGCAAGAAATGCCATCAGAGAAGCATTCCCTGAGAGCCCTGTAAGCAGGCACATGGGAAAGCCCAGAGTAGCACAACAAGGTGCTTCAGCCTGATCCATCTCAGCACCAGAAGGAATCCCACTTTTCAGAGTTGTCCCAGGTCAGAGGAGTGACAGGCATTTAATGGGCCAGCTGGGAGGTCACACCACATCCCAGGCTCTATCAGCCTCTTCCTGGCAGGATGCACAAGTTCAACCACGATGCTCCCTCAGAAAGCACTGCCCTTGAACAGCCATACTCCTCCCCAGGGATCTCTGGAACAGCACGTTTATGTGGAGTTACAAACAAGGATGCCTCTGAGGGCTCAGGATGTTGCTTGCCAAGAAGCCTCTGATTTGTTCTTTACCTGTGAAATACAAAGATATATCACAGGTGAGAACACGTTTCATATTTGCGGAAACAGATCCATAAAAGAACATGTTTAAACTCCGGTGCTTTTTCTTTTCATCAGCTCTCCAAAGGATGCAGAGCTTGTCCTGAACAGGACAATCCGTTAATCCCGACCTCTCTAAAAAGTAATCAAGCAGCATTACATACTAACACTGTTCTGAAATACATCCAGGAGGCAACGCCTCACAATAAGGCTAGTGCTCTGCTGGCATCTAGAGGGAGAGGGGGGAATCATCTCCCCAGGTATTCCCACAAAGAAATACTCATTCCTTCACCTAAGTGCTTCAGCCTGTACCCTGCAGACCAAGGGTCACTGTCTTACACTACCCGTGTGCTCCTGTGTGAAGGGAAAGAAGTGCTGAGAATTAACAGCAGCAACAGTCCCAGTCCCACAGATTTATTCAGCTGCTTGTGTGTCCCTGCCTCTAATTTCTTTTGTAGCCCTATGACCAGGAACTTCTCTGCCAACTTGCCACTGATAAGGAAAAATGTTTTTTTTTTTTGTAAGAGCAGGGAGGGAATTACTGCCTGGAAAAACTGGAAAATCAGTCTACAAGTGCATTTTTTTTAAACTATTATAGATTTAGAAGCAGAGATCAGGTTGCATTCATTGCACTTAGAGGAAAAATAAACAGCAATGTTTACACTGATGTCTTAGAACAAAATCACTATCAACAGAGTGGTTTTCTTCCCTCCCAAGCCACAGGGCTGTATTTTGGGCTGCTGTAGAGTCCTCACCCTTCTGTGCTGGGTGACATTACCTACAAGAACACATAATAAGGTAATACTTGAATAGCACTGCATGCATTTCCTGACACACTCCCACAGTATGTGTCCTCATTTTTCCTAGATCCCTTGCTGAAATGATTGTGTGAGCAGCCTTTTCATCTACGGATGTCAAATTAGCTTTTTTAAAGGAACATAAAGGAGAAAAAAACCCTCAAAATTACTAACAAGAAATGGAGGGAGTAGGATGAAAGACATAAAACGTCTTTACTATACATAGTCCAGAGCAGGAAGGAAACAAAGAAAACCAGAAGAAATCAAGTAAAAGAATCCCAAGAAAAAACGTAAAAACCAGAATCCCTCATTCATTGTCTTCTCCAGGAAGTGGAAGTAGCCATGCAGACGTCCCATGCAGGCAGGACTGGCAGCTCCTGCAGGGCTCAGCCTCAACCAAAACTTCTGGCATGAAACTCCAGATATAAGAAGGAAAAAATATTCTCTAGGTAGAGACTTCCTTCTTCTCTGAAAAACTAAAATTTACTTGTGCAAAAAACTTCATGCTGGGAAGACTTGAGTATTACATGTATTAAATGTTTAGAAGCTACTCACTCTTAACAGAGCATGATTAAGGAATGGTACTTAATAACTTATCTAAGGCCATGGGATTAAATTATGTCACTCTGTTTGTGGCAGTCATTCCTTCTGCTATCATCACTGCTGCCTCAAGGATTCTCGGTGAGTTATCTCCAGGGAGAAGCAAAAAAGACCCCCTGGAAGATTAACCTCCATTTCAGGAACATTGTGTCAGCAACAAACGTCTCCAGAGGACTGAGCTCTGTCCTCAGTGCAGCTCTAACTGAAAATCTCTCTTCTTTTTGTTGAAGCTGCCCATTCACACCAAGCCAGAAAATGCAGAGTTTCTGTAGGTCACAATTAGGTCCATGTTCTATTTGAAGAACAGAGTACTAAGAACACAAACCTCTTTTTTTTTTTTCAAGAAACTAAGCTAAAAGACTGTTGCAACCCCAGGATCTTGTGAGGGGGTATTAATTGTGGGATTTGTTATTGTCTCATTGCTTCTTGGAGATGCTGGAAAAGGTCAGAATACCCAGAAATTATGACAAGAGTGTAAGGAGAACAATATAAAGTGCAGGCAACTCCAAGCCTAAACTCGGCTCTGAAGACAAATCCAAAAGGCTTCAGGAAGTGCTGGCTTTAAATGTGACATAATGACACATTTGGTCCTTTGGTGACCTGGCTGAAAGCTCAGCCTTCACCCTGACATGACAAGTCCTAAACCACAGAGCCTGCTCTGGGTCAGTCCCCATCTGGTGCCACCTTCACATCTGCAAGGGCCTTGGATGGAACCAAACCATGGCCAGGGAGCTCATACTGGACACAGAACGAGGCAGATATGGATGACAGGGATAACGAAAGTGGATAACAAAACCCCCTTAAATCAGCCAGACAACTCCTCTTAAATCCAGTATATCCCTGAGGGCTGATGAACCCTTTCATCCAATCCAGCCCCAGGGAAGGAACCCTGCCAGACCAAAATTGTTAGTAAGAAACCCACTGACCACAGCAGCTCTAAACTTAGCTCAGCAGCTTGCTACACGCCAACTCAAAATCCAGGCTCCACCCAGCAATGGAACAAACTGACTCCAAATGATTCTTGGCACTGGGGGAGCTGCTTTTGCCAAGCACAGAGCCTTGTGTAACTAGGTGGCTGGGACAGCACCAGCTCTAACCTTCAAAATTTCCTTCAAAATCCTGGAAAATCCTTGCTCCCAGCCCTAGGGCACCACTGAGCAGCACGTGGTAACTGCTGGTAACAGTGCACAATCCCTCTGTGTTTTCTTCTCAGGTCCTTTGTGGCATGCTGAGGCAAAACCAAGCCCAAAGCCCAGCTCAGCAGCAGAGAAATTACATCTGCCACCACCCAAATTTACACAATATTCTTGGATGTAGCCATGCCACTGACTATACACACCTAGGAGAAACCAGAAACTTCCTGGGATACCACAACAAACTCTAAATGATCCCTAACCTAAGGTAACAAGGAGGTGACCAACCACAACCCAAACCTTCCTCAACAGCTCCTTTAAAAGCTTGGCTCTTTATTGAGCTGCAACTTTGCATTATCCAGCTGTAACATTGCATTAGTGCCCAATATCCAGGATTTGGTACTGCTGCCATCCTTGCTTAGTGTAATTGAAGAGCAGAGTCAGAGTTCACAGTGATTTTGGTCACTTAGGGTGTGTTTGGATAATTTTAGAGGCGATATGAATCCAGATGTATCCAGACTTTTACTAGGTAGACCTTTTCCCTGTATATGACCCAGGTGTGCATTTCTCTACCTTTATACAAAAACTGGTTCCTCTCTGCCTGCTAAAAATTGAATATAAAAAAGCAAAGATCATCCACTTCCAAATCCTCTTCTCAGTTATCTGTTTCAAGGGTGTATAAATCCAGCAAAGAAATAAAATCAAAAGCAACTGCTAAAAATGGTTGAAAGATGATAAGAGTAATGTTTTCCCTAGTTCTTCATTTCGACAACTGCCCAAATGCTGGATTTTGATGTCTCACCAGCACTGGAAAACAGCTCACCATGAGGATGTGTTTCACTTGCAATGAGCTCCTGATATGGACGCAGATCCTTGAAAATTGAAAACAACCTCAAGATCTCCTATTCTCCACCTGTTTCTTACACATTGCTGGTGCAGGGGTACATTTCTTGGATCATTTTCTTTACACAGGAGCACTTTTAACCCTGGGATTTCACACCCAGCCAAAGATATGCTGTAAAAATTACAGGGTTTAGATATTATGTGGGCATTTTCCTTTCAGTCACAACTCTTTTTTCAGCTGCTGTGTTTTACCGTGAACACAATACAAAATGAATTCACTTTGTGGGTTCAAGTATGTGCTTTGCATCTAAACTACACTATATTTGTATTCTCTTAAGGGTGAAGAAAATAACTTAAATAGCTATTCAGAAATATCAAATAAAAAAGAAAAAATCCCAGGAGTTTCTTATAGCAATACAGTAGTTAAGTTCATCCTAATGGGTATAAGCTATTTTTCAATTCTAACTTTATTTTTAGTGAGGATAAAGCCTACTGTTCTACAATGGTGATACAAGGTGAGCCTCTCAAGACACACGGGAAGTTCAGGCTTTTACAAAGAATATACCTTGTATCTGTTCTTTTCCTGTAAGGCAATCCTGTCTAAGCTCACCTTTTGGCAACGGGTTCTGTAAAAAACAGACCTTCAAAACCTACCCAGGACAGGTGGGATGGCAAAGCAGGTCCTGAGCTTAGGAGGGACAAGCTGTAAGGTGCCACACCGAGATTTATACAAGGGAAAGGCTGGCGCTGCCTGGCGTAGGGTCAAACCATCCCTCCCTCAGTTCCGGCTCCCTGGGGGCTGAGGGCGGCGTTCCCCGGGCTGTGAGCCCCATCCCTCCCTGAGCTCCCGCGGCACTCCCCGGGCTATGAGCCCCGTCCCTCCCTCAGCTCCCGCGGCACTCCCCGGGCTGTGAGCCCCATCCGTCCCTCAGCTCCCGCGGCACTCCCCGGGCTGTGAGCCCCATCCCTCCCTCAGCTCCCGCGGCACTCCCCGGGCTGTGAGCCCCATCCCTCCCTGAGCTCCCGTGGCACTCCCCGGGCTGTGAGCCCCATCCCTCCCTGAGCTCCCGCGGCATTCCCCGGGCTGTGAGCCCCGTCCCTCCCTCAGCCCCGGCTCCCTCAGGGCGGAACCCCCCGCCGCGCCCTGGCGCCCCCTAGCGGCCAGGAGCGCAGCGCGAGACGAGCCCCACCCTGACCGGCGGGAAAACCTTCCCTAAGCCCCCGAGTGAGCGCGCCGCTCCTCTATAGGCGTCCGCGCCGTTCGCCGGCAAGGAGGTGGAAGGGGGCGTTCCGCTGGCCGCTGGAGCAGCGCGCAGGCGCGCGTCGGGCAGCCCCGCGCGAGGCGAGGCGGAAGGCCCCGTTCTGGAAGCATCCCGGTGCCGTCCCGCTGTGTCCGCTCGGCCCGGCCATGCCCGAGAGCGCGGCCGGCAGGGCCCCCGCCGGGGCCGGCAGCAGGGCCAAGGGCGCCTACCAGGACCGCGACAAGCCCGCCCAGATCCGCTTCAGCAACATCGCCGCCGGCAAAGGTGCGGCGGCCGCGGGGGGAGCCGCCCCGTGGCCGGGGGGAGCCGGGCCGGGCCCTCGTGGGCGGCGATTGGGGCGGGGGGCGGTGGATCCCCGGTGCCGGGCACCGGCCGGGCCGTACCCCAGGGGTGCGAGCGGGAATTCCGTGGGTGCGATGGCTGGGAGCTGCCCGGGAGGGGGGAGCGGCGTTGGGCGCTGACACGAGCCCCGGTCGCGCTGGGTTCTGTTCCTTTGTGATTGCCCAGACTTAAAATGGCTGCAGTCAAGCGGTCAGGTAATAATGGTTTTTAAAAAAAGAACTGGGAAATCAGGCTTGAGACTGCAGCGTTTTGCGTCATTTCGCTCTTTGGGATCCTTTAGTCTGCCTGGGAACTTAAAAGGGGCAGACATTTTCTTTTTAGAAAAGACGTTTAAATGTAGTGTTTGTGGTTCTTTAAGTCAGATTGGAAAGAAACGTTTTCTTCTTTTCCTAGCTGTTGCCGATGCAATTAGAACGAGCCTTGGACCAAAGGGAATGGATAAAATGGTAAACTTCGTGCTTTAAATTTTCAAAACATTAAGGTTATTGGAGATACTGTAAATTCAATGTGCCTTATAGAGGATGCCACATTTTGCCTTAATTCTTTCCCATGTTCCAGGTATTTAAGGGAAAGTGGGAGCTGAATGGACATCTTAGTTTTGAAAACGATGTTAAAAATATTTTGAGCCTTAAATTAGAGACTTGAAGCTGCTAATCAGAACTGTGTTCCTGGCCTTTATTCTCAGATTCAGGATGCTAAGGGAGATGTGACAATCACTAACGATGGTGCCACCATCCTGAAACAAATGCAGGTTCTGCACCCTGCAGCCAAAATGGTGAGTGGCTTCTTCTCCATTCTGTGTAGATCAGAGGAGCATTACCCAGGATAGTAACAGAGCAGGAGATTCTGTGTCTTGTGCTCCAGGAACATTTCTTTTGATTGTGGCGTGTGCTTAAGAGTTACAAACTCTTATTTATTTATTACCCAGTGTCCCTTATGCACAATTCCTCTGGACATGTTTTAAAACATAACAAAACTGAAATTTTAAGAAAGAATATTAAGAAAATGTAGTCCAAACCTTCACGTGTCATTTGAGAAGGAAAAACGGATGTCCCAAACCATTAGGACAGAAGGGAACGAGTGAAGAAGGTGTGACCAGAAGGTCTGAGGATACAGTAGCTATCCTTTGAGATGTTCAATGGTCATGGATTTGGTTGTGGTTGGAGATGGAAAATAGCTTCCTGTGATTTTCCTCCAGAGAAGGAAAAGGCAAACTTGTTAGATAGGTGTTCAGTTTTAAATTTGGGAGTAAAAGCTCTGCTTCTGGAAGTAACTTACTGTACCCTAGCTGTATTTTGGCCAAAGAAGTGTCTGGGTATGGGTAAACAGCACTCTGTATATTTTATTTTTTTGCCATAATTTTTCCTTTAGTTAGTAGAGCTGTCAAAAGCACAAGATATTGAAGCTGGTGATGGCACGACCTCTGTTGTGGTCATTGCTGGAGCTCTCTTGGATGCCTGTTCCAGACTCCTTCAGAAGGGTAAATATACTCATTTAACATTCAGAGACTGTAGGTACTGAAGTAATTTTGTCCTCTTGCACATGTGGGATAAAGCTTAAAGTAGCTGTAATCAGTTGGAAGGATAAAGGGTGTATCCCACACTCCAGGGAAATTGGGGAGTTTCATACAGGACTGTGGGAAAACAGTTTTTGAAAATCTGAAATTTAATCAGTGTCAGCCTCCTCACAGGCATCAGCTGAACAGCAGCAGCATTAGGAATGCCAAGAGAATTTGGAAAAAATGTTTCTGGGATGTCAGGGATCGCAGGGAAATGTGCAGGATTTATCTGTGAGGACAAATAACTTGGAATGTTACAGTTTTAATATCAGAAAATAATGAGTGAGGTCATACACCAATGAAGAACATTCTGCTGAAATGCCTTCAATTTGTTCTGACCTGAGCATCTCAAGTTTTAAAATGGAAGGAGGTGGTGAAGAAGAAACAAAAAGACATGTGTTTGAAAGGGTGAAGTGTCTAACAAGCATTTTTAACGCTCTGCACAGGAATTCATCCCACCATCATTTCGGAGTCATTCCAGAAGGCTCTGGATAAAGGTATCGAGGTGCTGACCAACATGGCCCAGCCCGTGGAGCTCAGTGACAGGGAGACCTTGCTGAACAGTGCAACCACTTCCCTCAACTCCAAGGTACAGCTGCACTTGGACTGGTAGTTCCAGTTCAGGCAGGCCTTGTAGCTTTTCAAGTCTAAAAAAGAGCAGTTCCATTTTCTATACATCCCTGGGTGTGGGTTTTATCACACGCCAGAATCGCTGCTCTGTCCTTGCCATGGAGCAGACATGAAGAAGGTGCCTTGTTAATTGCTTCAAAATTCTGGCATCAAATATTGAAACACAGCAACAGTATTGTTGTGGAACTGCTGTTCATCAGGGTGAAGTCTCTCAGCATGGTTTCTTTACTGTTGAATCCCTTAGGTTGTGTGTCAGTATTCCAGTTTACTTTCTCCAATGAGTGTGGACGCAGTGATGAAGGTGATTGACCCAACTACAGCCAATAGTGTAGACCTCAGAGATATTAAAATTGTTAAGAAGCTGGGGTAAGAAACAATTCGTAATTAGATAAATTTTGTCTCTGTGAACACAGTTTTCCAGAGTGCTCCAGTCTTGGGTTGTGTTTGTTTCCAGGGGCACAATTGATGATTGTGAACTGGTTGAGGGACTTGTCCTGACTCAGAAGGTGGCAAATACCGGCGTAACCAGAGTGGAAAAAGCAAAAATTGGCCTCATTCAGTTCTGCTTGTCTGCTCCAAAGACAGATGTAAGTCAGAATGTTGCTAGAGCAAATCCTCATCCTCTACGACTCGGGACAAGCAAACGGAATAACAAATGCTTTTTTAGATGCTGTGGTGTCAGCTCTGTGCCACAGCTAGAGTGAAGAGCTGCTGAATCCTAAAAATAAATTACAGTTGGTATTAAAAAAGTTCTTTAAATTATGAATTATGTTTCAAGTATGTTAAAAATTGCTTGAATTTAAATTCAGTGTTACCTGAACTGTTTCTAATAGTATTTTGCTGTTATGCTTATTTGTTTAGAACTACAGCATTTTTCATTAAAGAATGTGGCATGTTTTGACACTTGTTTTTTCTTTTTCTAATTGAAATAGATGGACAACCAGATTGTTGTTTCTGATTATGCTCAAATGGACAGAGTGCTGCGTGAGGAGAGAGCCTACATCCTGAACCTGGTGAAGCAGATCAAGAAGGCTGGGTGCAATGTGCTGCTCATTCAGAAGTCCATCCTGAGGTACGTTAATGCCCAGGTGCCGGCTCTCTGCGGCACAGTTGGAATTGTTTGGAAAACTGAGGCCAAACACAAGTCACACTTGCATAGTAACAGTGTCTGTACCAGCACCCAACACTGTCTGTATTTGGAGTTTGATGGCATCCTTACTTTGTACTCTGAAGAGTTTGAGCACTGACTCCTTTACTCTCATTTTCAGGGATGCTCTCAGTGACCTGGCCCTCCATTTTCTGAACAAAGTTAAGATCATGGTGGTTAAAGACATTGAAAGAGAGGACATTGAGTTTATATGTAAGGTAAGGTGGGTCATATAAATGAGCAGCAGTGTTTTAAAACCTACCCCCAAACTAACTGCCTAGCCAGGGCTAGTTTATTGTGACATTTTTACAAGTTTCATGTTTTGACTATAATGCAAGAGCAGACATTGCCCTAAAAAACATTTCTGCTCTCTTGAGCAGTCACACTTCTATAGAAGGATTCAGGATACATGTAAAAGCTACAGTCCCTTCTGTATTTTACTGTCATATGCAGAAGAACAACATGCAGTGTACTTGCTGACTCTGCAGTCAGTCTCTGGATTAATTTTTTTTCCCATTATTTTTCCAGACAATTGGAACTAAGCCTGTGGCTCACATTGACCAGTTCACCCCTGACATGCTGGGCTCTGCTGAGCTGGCAGAGGAAGTCAATTTGAATGGTTCTGGGAAACTGATAAAGGTGAGCAAGGAACAAAGTGTTAATACCTACTTAGCATCTGTCTGATGTTTTAATAACTGGTAGCTTTGATGTTTTTTTACTGTGGAATTTATTACATTTAAGTACCTATTTCTAACCTCTGAGTAGCCACCGGCACAGTGGTTTTGCTTGGCCAGACATCAGTGCTGTTACAGAATTTGAAAGTGCCAGTGGCAGTGTCTTTTTGTCCCAAACTTTTATTTGTTCCCCAATGTCAGTATCTGGTTTTATATTTTAGATTACGGGTTGCACAAACCCTGGGAAAACTGTGAGCATCGTGGTCCGTGGATCCAACAAACTCGTGCTGGAGGAAGCCGAGCGCTCCATTCACGATGCCCTGTGCGTCATAAGGTGCTTAGTGAAGAAAAGGTAATGTCTCAGTTGGGTCAGTTAGTAACATATCAAAGCCTGATTGTGTGTGCACTTGTGTGAAGTGAGGTTTGATGTCACTTCTGTGCCCTCAGGGCTTTGATTGCCGGCGGCGGAGCCCCAGAGATCGAGCTGGCGCTGCGGCTGAACGAGTATGCCCGGACCCTGAAGGGGATGGACTCCTACTGTGTCCGTGCCTATGGGGACGCGCTTGAGGTCATTCCCTCCACCCTGGCTGAGAATGCAGGGCTCAATCCCATCTCCACGGTGACAGAGCTCAGAAACAGACATGCCCAAGGAGAGAAAACAGCTGGCATTAATGTCAGGAAGGTAATGAGGGGTTGTAATACCTGGGTGTTACTGGGGAAATGCTTAACCTCCTTAGGGTTGGACTAAGGAGAGGGCAAGCTGGTAGCCTCCCTAAAATTAGAGGGAAATTACAGCTTGTTCTCTCAGGAGCTCACCCTGAGCATTGATAATAGCAGATATTAAAAGTTTGATGCATGCAACAGGAAATGTTTCATGTCTCCACAAAAGCGATTCAGCTACAACAAAAGATCCATTTAGCATGATCCATCGGTAGGATCTACAATGGAAGGTGGTCGTGAGTTGAGAGTAGCACCACAGCTTTTTCTCAGTTGGCAGTGCTGACCTTTATTGTTGGCTAATTTTGACTGGATATGTCAAGTGCTTGGGGAGAGATGTGTGCTGTAATGCCCCTGTTGCAGTTGAAAGCCTTGTGATAGTCCAGGAGTTGACTGCCCTCAGGATTCTGCTAAAAGAAAAACTGCTACATGTGACTGTAGTGTGTCTTGCACAAAGTGAAAGTTCCTTGTTCCCCTAGGGTGGCATTTCCAACATCCTGGAGGAGCTGGTTGTGCAGCCTCTGCTGGTGTCTTTGAGTGCACTGACCCTCGCCACAGAAACCGTGCGCAGCATTCTCAAGATTGATGATGTGGTGAGTGGTGTTGGTGTTGTGGTTTGGGTTTTCCCTCCTTCACAAGCATCAGCATGTTGTCGTTCATTTGCTGTGCTTGAAAAATGCAGTTACTGTGTAGAGTGTTCTCAGTTCTGTGCTGCTTAAGACCCTTCAGCTTTTTAATAACTGCAAATGAATTATAAATACTGCACCATAAAGCAAGGAATTAGTCCCTAAAAGCCCAGGATCTTTAAACAAAGAAGGAATTGTGATATATCCTGTGATTTCTTCTGCCTGACTCTGTGTCCTCCCTGCAGGTGAACACTCGAGGATAAGCTGAGCAGAGGTGGGGACCATGGCTTCGAGTTCCTGCCCTAGAGCTGGAATATGGACTCCTCACCAAAAGCGCCTGTGTGAATTGTCTTAAACTCCACCAAGACTGATGTACTTTGATCAGGTTTAACTTAAGTAACAGTTGGTTTTCAAAAAGAAAATGCTGTTATATCAATAAACATGCAGTAGTCTACCTGACTCTTTGCTGTTTAATTTTGTTGGCGTTTGTTATGTTCGGTTACATTAGCTTTTCTCTGCTCCTCTTTAGGGCTGAAATGTTTAAGGCAACCAGTCACTTCTTGTGATACATTCTAAAAACACCCTTGAAGTGTACTCTAGCAATACTTACCTAGCTTAGAGCTGCTTCTCCCAAAGCTTTCCCTAAGGGAGTAGTGGTACTGCCCTCAGCGATGCCAGGCTAGAGGTGAGGAGGATCTTTGCAGTGGGAGCACCTCCCATTCCTTGCCCTCCTGACTTGTGCATCCTGATGCCATCACATGATCCAGAGCCCTACAAAAGGTGTTCTTCACATGGTTTCCTCCCCCTGGCCCCAGAATAATTGCTTTTCCCAAGAGTACACTGCTCTACAATAATGCAAATTAGCTTTCCAACTCCTGATTCTTAGCGTGACATTTTGAATTAACCCTTTCATCTCCATTGCTATATTGAAACAACCTGATTCCTCTTCATAATTAAAGGAGCGTGTTTCTTCCATTTCTTTTCACATTTCTGTTCATGATTGGTTGGTTTGTTGGATGGTTGGTTGGTTTGAGTAAATTTCCACCATGGTGTTTATCTGTTGTGACTTGCCAAGTAGAACAAACAGAGTAACTCAACTACTAATTAATAAATTAGACAATCGATTTAGGCATTAATGTTCTGTGTTAATTATTCGTTGCCTGTTGAAAATTGCAAATAGTGCCTTACCCCACAGGGTCACATCCAACAATGATCTTAGTTTATGTACTATGATTAAAGTTTTCATCCCCCATTATCACAGTTAAAATTATTGACAAGAATTACAGCAGCAATTGTGTGTGATTTCATCACAAAATGTAGTTATAATTTCACTATATTAAATAGGTCCATCCAGCATTAACTGTTCTTTGTAGAGGAAGAATATGTCCTCATAGAGGATATAATATTCCTAGGACAGAATCCTCCTGCTTCTGCTTTAGCCTTACCGTGCAATTGCTTACCTGAAGTACAAACTTCAAGACGGAAAAGCTTCTTTAATAACTTGAGGGCGCGGAAAACGCGGGCTCGCCAGTGAGAATTGGAGGTTCCCACTAAAATCCTGCAAGAAGTCACCTAAAAATCCGTACGGGCAGCGGCTGCGAGCGCGGTGAAGCCCAGCCCAGCCTAGCCCAGCCCAGCCCGTGGCCGGCGGCGGCGCTCGGGCCGGGCGTTAACGCACCCGCTCCGCCCCGCCCCGGGGCCGCCTCCGCGAGGCGGAGCGGAGCCACCTCCCGGTACCGCCTCCTGGTCCCCCGGGACTGCCTCCCGGCCCCCCGGCATGGAGGACGCGCGCCGGGCCGCCCGCCTAGCCGCCTCCTGCCTCCGCACGCCGCTCGATCCGCGCACACGGGCTCCCGCCGCGCTCTACGAGCGGGGGCAGCCGCCCGCCGCCGCGCAGGTACCGCGGGCACGGCCGAGGGGCTGCTGGGCACCGGGGGACGCGGGCTCCCCCTGAAGCTGCTCTGCAGAGGGGTCACACGCGCACACACACACAGACACACACACACACAGACACACACACACACCCACGCACACTCGCGGGGGACACCTGGCAGATGGCCCGACCGCAGCGCCGATCCTTTAATGCGCTTGTGGCAGCGCGACGTCTGGAGAGCAGATGTAGGAACTGGCCCGCCCTGGTCGAGAAAAGGAGCTGGGCTTCTACACGCCGGTGGCAGCAGCAGGTTCGGGGAGGTGGAATGTGCTGGCGCGGGGGGTTCTGTGTGGAAAAGTAGTACTCTAATTTTTTTTTTTTTTTTTTTTTTTTTTTTTTTTTTTTTGTAAAGAAACTGGCCCGTGACTTTTTAAAACATGCTGCTTAGAACAAAATGAAGCTTTTGTGATGCTGACTAACCTGGCTTTTAATAACTTCTCTGACTTGTGTAAGCGTTAAAAATGCTTAAAGACTATTGACTGCACACAGCTGCAAACTGACAATCAGTGTTGGAAATATAAGCTGTGCAGAATCCCTGTCATTTCACAGTAAGTTATGGAAATGGAATAAACATTTATGCACCACATCTCTAATGACTTATTTTCAGAGTGGTTATGGAACTAGGAGGCAGAGAAGGTTCTGTTTGTTTGTAAATAAAGGCATTTTTTGAGCTGCATAGTAATCAAGGAAAAATTACACTTTACAAAATAATTAATTTTTTTCTTTTGGTAAGTCCTTTTGATCATATTTCCTGTTATAAACATTGATTACAGGGCAGACTTGGGAATTTTTACAGGTTTTAAATAGGACCCTTAGGATAAAAATTAATATGCAACAAGATTATTCCATGTATACTTCTACATTAACCTTTGTATACAGGTATCTCTGTGTTACTTCAGCATTTCTTAGACTTAATTAGAATAAACCAATATTAAGAACCTTGTTCCCCTTCCTTCTAGCAGAAAAAAATGATGAACATCTCTTCTAGGATGGCTTCGACTTGGATTCAAATACTAACAGAGAGCAGGCCTCCCCTCCAAAGAGAGACTGTGACACATGGATAGACTTTTCCAAAATGTACAATTCAAATCAAGAGTATTACTTGAAACTGGAAGAGTTGAAGAATGCCCACATGGAGACAATGGCAAAACTGGAAAGTATGTATCAAAACAAACTGTATTTAAAAGGAGTACAAGCCTTGGATAAAAGAATTAACACCTCTCCAAAGTGCTGTAGGTAAGTTTGGGGGCAGTTCAGTTTTTTAGCTGAAGATTCCCAAATGCTTTGCAGGCAGCTGTAAAACAGCAGGGTGTGTTTCTGGGATGGAAAGTGTTCCACTCCCCACCTCTCATAATCAGATAATCAGAGAAAAGTCAGTTTTGAAGATAAAAACACTCATTTCCTTGCTAATGGTCTGTGAGTTTTAGAGGTGGGTGTGCGGCAGGGATTGGGCAGCACATTTAGGAAAGCACAGGGCCTTTCCCAAGTCAGGAAGTGCTGACTTGGTGACCAGCACTAAAACCAGGATCTGCTTTGAGTGCCCTGTGTGCTGCTCTTTTCCCTTCTCTTGCCCCTCAGCCACTTGTTTTTGTTTCTAGTGTTGATTCCTTAGAGTGGAAGTCACCAGCTTTGCATCAATGTTGGACTGGCTCAAACCAAGGGTTTTTTTCTCTCTCTTTATTTTCAAGGCCAACTTGGGACAAGAGTTCATATCAGCCTCTTAACCTGCACAAATCCTTTTCAGACTCAGACTTAAGTGATCCCTTGGGCTCAAGCGTATCGGACACGTCTGATGAAGAATTAGTGTTTGAAGAAAACGGCAGCGGAGCTGGATCATCCTCATTTGCTAAGCAGCAGATTGAAAAAATGTGGGATGGCTTCTGCCTGGAAGACTACATTTCCCGTGCCAAGCACAGCTTGCCCAGCTCACCAGCCTGCAGGAAGGGGCACAAGAAAGAGAAAGTGTGGTCCCCCAGAGTCACTGTGCCCAAGCCCTTCCAGATGACCATCAGAGAAGCTAAGAAGAAAGAGCAGAATGTCAAATCCAAGTCACAGATTGAGCTGGAAAATCACTTACTGAAGAAGCAGCTGGAGGAGGAAGCAGAGTGTCAGAAAAAGTTCCGAGCCAATCCCGTGCCTGCCGCCGTTTTCCTGCCGCTCTACCACGACATTGTGCAGCGGAACGAGGAGCGCAGGAGGTCTGTGAGGGAGAGGAGCAAGCTCAAGCTCCTGGCTACCCAAAAGCCCTTTAAATTCATTGAGCGAGAGAGGCAAAGGCATGAAGCCAGGAAAATGCAGTTAAAAGACCTTTCCCTGCCTGAAAATAAAACTAAAGTGTTCAGAGCAAAACCAGTCCCAAAATGTGTTTATAGTCCAGATTTCCGTGACAAGGTAAAGGAGGAGGAGCTTTGCAGGGAAATCAGGATCAGGATGAGAGCTGAGGAGCTGCTACAAAATTCATCTGTACCCAACAGCAGACTGGCCTTAAAACACACCAACAAAAAGAAGAAACGCAAGAGCACTGAACCAAAGCGAATGGAACACAAGCTCAAGATCAAATCGAGCATTCCTAATTTTGAACTCCTACATGAGAAATTCCAGAAACGCCTCCTGCAACAAAAAAAAGTAAAACCCCTCACGGTCTGTGAGCCTTTCGACCTTTGTACTTCGTACATTCCCTCAAAAAAGGACAAGATCTTGAAGGACATGCAAGAGGATGAGGAAAAATTGAAGGAAACAAGGTGGCCATTTGCCTCTCCAAGACAGAAGCCTCAGATGGGGCAGTCAGGGGCAAACCCACATCTCCTGGGAGAAGGAAAATCCAAACCTCCCAAAACCACAGAATCCACGAGACGACGGCTGCAAGCCTTGAGGTGACTGCTTGGAGATGCTCAACTCTATGTATACTTGAAAAGTAGATTTTTTTTTTTTAATTACTATATATTTGGTATTTTATTTGGTGTTATTTTTGGTATTTCTAAATATGTAGCTAATTCTTCCACACAGTGAATATAGGACTTCATTTGTTAATATAAGGCCTTATAATACAAATCTTAAAATATTTAAATATAGGACTTAATTAGTATTTATTATTGTTAAAGGAACACTAGTGCATTTTTGTCAGCATGTCTCTAAGAAGAAGACAAATGACACTGGTTTCCCAGGATATCCTGAATCCCTTGAAATGGCACATATGTTGTGTCCTCTCATAGCAACCCCATTTTTCTCTTTGGAATAATCTTTGCCAAAGCTTCCTTTGAAGTCTTGCTCTAGATTTAAACTGAATTCAGTCTTAGTTTATTTTCCCCACCAGGAATTCCCTTGAGGAAAAGAGAAAGCTGGAAGAACAACAAAAAAGGAACAGAAACAAGCAGAAACAAAGAACGAAAAAATTCCAGAAAATTGTGATGGCTCGGGCTGAGGCCAGTGACCCACATCAGAGCCTAGCTCAGATGTCTAAAACCAGATTAAAAACATTCAGGTATTTTGTTGCATTCCCCTGAATCCTGAACACCTCTTTCAACAATGAGAAGGAGAGGTTTGGGATTGCACTGTATGTTAAACATACAGTGTAAAAAAAAAAGCACAGTCTAAGTTTAGATACTTACACGTCGTGAATTAAACATGGTACAAGCAGCTGGTGAAAAAGTGGCCAAATTTAGCATTTCAACTGGGAAATTGTTGCCAACCTGTATTGAGCTCACAATATAGAAATATATAGCATATAGAAATATATATATATTCCACATTAGATTATTATAGATTCAGTAACAGGAGAGTCCTGTGTTTTCTCCATTGATGTATCAACTAAAGAGGAAAAGGTTATAAAAATCAAAAGGAAAGGGAACAGTGTGGATACAGAATATCCTTGCAGAGCAGGTGTTGGTACCATTTTGATGCAGCAGTGGACATTTTGCAATTCACTCCTTTTCTCAATAGGTCCCCACTGAAGAGGGAAACAAAAGCGGGAATATTTGAACTTCAGAGTGTAACAGCAGTGAGTGAGAAGGCTGCTTGGTGCTCAGGAATAATGGAATCCAAGGTTCCCTGCAGTAGACATGCAATGCAGAGACTCTGTGTATGACTGAGCACACAGAGGAGAGCACGAGGGCCTTCTCGGAGTGCTGTAAGCTGCCACTCCAGATGCCTCCAGCTCTGACACAGCTCTAACCCCATAACTGCTGCTTGGCCTCGTGGCTGGGGCTAGTTTAACCCTTTCTGCTTTTCTAATCCTAAGAAAAATAAATCCTGTCTGAACAAGTCTTTAGTGAGATTTGTGATCTGGCCTGGCACGGTGGTACTGCTGTAGTATTGTCAATGTAAGGTGCTGTTATGTGGCGATGGTGAGAGATGCTGAGTGCTCTGCCCCTGTTGCTTCATGCCTGGGCAGGATTCTGGGGCAGCAAGCACAAATCCTAATTTCCAGTAACCTGGCATACTGTTAATAACAGGAGTTTTATAATCTGTGTGTCCTCGAGCATGTGATCTGCTGGCTCTGGGACAGAAGCAGAAAACAGCTGGAGTCAGAGTAGGTGGAGAATTAAAGAGATCCAGTAGGTGACTGTAGATGTGATTTGGGTTTGTTCAACAGCAAATTTCCCATTACAGTGTTCAGCTTAATCAGATGTCAGGAGAGTAAAATGCTGGGTCTCTGGGTGTTAAATGCTGCTGTTGCAAAGCAAGATCACTTCCCTGGTGCAGGTGTTGAACCTGATAATGCTCATTTCAGCACAGCTGGAATGTGTCACACTGGCACGGTCTGTCAGTGGCAGACAGACAGACATTCAAAGCAAGCAATGGAAGTTCATTTCCCAGCATGGTGAGGAATTCAGAGATGGTCAGGGGGAGAGGCTGGAGGAAACAGAGGTGTAAAAGGCCCTCCTTGATCTCATCCTTGCCCTGAAGTACCTGATCTGCAATGTCAAATATGCCCAGTACAGAGGTACATCACTGACCTGCCTGTCCCACTCTGAGGAAGGGCTACAACCCATTCCACTCGGATTATCCAATGCTCCCTGTGATCCCAGAGATCATTCCAGTTATGAATCAACAGTTTCATTACCCTGCTCTATTGAATGGGCCCTTGACAAACCAACTGAGGAAAAAAGTGTTCTGTAATCCAGAGCATGGCCACCTCTCTCGGGTGATCAACTGCTAAAGTAGCAAGATGCTCAACATCGGACTTGAAAAGTACAGATTTTTATTTAATGCACTTAATTTCCTGTGCTGTATTCTGTTTAATTTTGCTTAGAACAACTGGAAGATCTGTATGAAATAAGCATGTAAAAACCCCTAAATATCCACATTTTTTTAACCAAAAAACTCCAAGAATCCAAACTCAGCCTCTATTTAAATCCAGTAGCCAGGACCTGCCTCTGCTTAGCCAAAGTGACTCCTTCAGAGATGAATTGTTCAGTACCTCTAATGTATCTTGAAGTATAACAACATTTAATTTGTTATGAGCAATTTAACTACTGTGGAAAATTACTCCTTGTACTATAAATTAATAATAATTTCTCTTGTACTCTGCTCCCCTTAGGAACAACGAGAAGCAGAGAAAGCAGGAATATTTGCAAGAATTGCAAGAAATGGAAGAAAGAGTAAAACAAATGCCATTGCTTTTTGAAAGAGTCGCTCAGGTTGCCTTGTTTCTGAACTACTAATTAATCTTGACTGATAGCAAATAAGACATTTGTGGTCTGACATTTTTAGAAGATACTTCAAAAGCACTTTTCAGGGCAGTCTTTCTCCATTTCAATCTCTGTTGCCCCATCTCCATGTAAATATCAGTCATTTTTGAGATGTGCTTGCACAGGGAACAGAGAACTGTTGTAAATGTGTCTGGATCAGTTACAACATGAGTAACTCTGACCACAACCAAGCATTGCTGGTACAGAAAAGTAAAATCTGGTATTAAATTTTCAAGTGTTGTTTTGCCATTCTTACCTGTAGTGAATAATCATTTCCACTTCTCAGCAGCAATTAATGAATCAGAGGATTAATATAAATAAAAGTATCAAAAGCCAGGCATTTAATGCATTAGATAACATTTAACCATTGTGGTTTTTCTACAGAAAAATGCCAGAATAGCTGCAGAAAAGTATTATTCAAACAGACTGAGAGCACTGGGAATCTGCCCAGAGTTTGTTTCAAAGAAAGGAGGAGCAGCCAAATCGCTCCAGTTCTCCACTGCTGGAGATTTTACCTCCAGTGCTGGCAGAGCAAGGTACAGATGACAGAAAGCTTTTTCTTTTTACCCACTACATATCTAATAATCAGAAAATTTTCCATGTGTAGATTTAAGGGTTTTATAATCATTTTCAGTATTTTCCAGGGAACTATTTGACTATGTGGTATGCTAGCGTTAGTATGTATTTTTGATTGTTTTTCCTGTATTAAATATTATTTCATAAAACAGAGGAGAACTGCTTAACCAAACTGTTTATGTTATGTAATGCACTTCAAAGAAAAAAAAGAAAAACAATCCTTGTTTGTTCCTTTCATCCAAAAATCTGGCAGGCTGCTGTAAGTCACTACCTTTACATTTTAAATTTTTTAAGTGAACTTTATTAAAATAGTTTTTAGTATCTGTTGGGTTTTATGATTTAAAAGGAAGCAGAAATTTAAAGAAAAAAATCAGAATATATAAGTAATACTGTTGAGTTACTTTCTAGCATAAAGAGGGTATGTCCCCCCTTCCCTTTCCTTCCATTTTCCTTCCCCCCAGCCAAGGCTACCAGGCTTTGTCCTGGGTTACATAAAGGTGGAAAGCATCTTCTCAGAGAATGAAACCCCACATGCAATTTGTCTTTTCAGAATCACCGAGGTTAAAATGAAAAGAAGGGGATCCTTTGAGGAAGCAGCTGGTGAGAGTCCCCAGTCTGAGCAGTTGTGGGAGGAGGAGGAAAAGAAGGGAAAAGGTGTCAAAACCTCCACCCCAAATGAGCAGTGCAGTGACCTGGAGGATGGGGGTGGGGCCAGAGCCAGCCCTGATGTCCTTGAGCCTGAATGGGAGGAGGAGGAAGCCAATGTAGACCTGTCATTTGGCCATTCCCAGGAGGAAGAGGAGGAGGAAGAGGAAGCAAAGGCAGGCCCATTGCTTGGTCATTCCCAGGAGGAGAAGGAGGAGGAGGAAGAGGAAGAAGAAGCAAAAGCAGGCGCATCTCTGGACCATTCCCAGGAGGAGGAAGAGGAGGAGGAAGCCAAGGCAAGCCCATCCCATGGCCATTCCCAGGAGGAGGAGGAGGACGAGGAGGATGAGGAGGACGAGGAGGAGGATGAGTCCAGACCCAGCTCCCAGTCTGACAAGCCCCATGAGCATGAGGAGGAAGCTCAGTCTGAGCCCGAAGCTGAGGGCGCCTTCCAGTATGAGGATGAGGAGTATGAGAGTGATGATTCTGAGGAGAGGGCCGGTGATGAGGAAGGGCACTGACAGGAAGGGCTGGGACTCAGGAACCTCTTACACTGCTGGCTGTGCTTTTTGAAGCACTTTTTGTATTTACAATGTTTCTTCCTCTAGAAACCATCCCCTCCTGTTCATAGTTATCACAACACCAAGCAGGTTTTGTTCTTTTTTCCTTTGGGGAAAAAGCTATTACCTTTTACAGCTGCTCCAGATGAAGAGAATAACAAAAGAATTCAAATTCTTGAAAAAAAATGTTTGAAGCCATCCCTGTTTTGGAATTAATTATGGTCTCATGTACAATCCTCAAGGCTTCTCTAATGGCAGCAAACAAAATATTTGCCTGAGCTTGGCAGATTATAGGCACTCTAAAGATCAAGATATATTATTAACAATTATATTAGACACCAGAGAAAAGCTTGGTGCTTTGCTACACATCCAAAATTCTGAATTTTTACTTCTTAGTTTGTGAATTTTTACTTCTTAGTTTAGGAGACCTGCCAGTGCAGGAATTCTGTTTGCTTTCCAGTAAGAAAGCTCAAGTTGCAAGTTTTCACCAAGAAAATAATTTAGTATTTCTGTATTACTCTTCTTTATTGCACTCTTCTGTGACATGAGTGCACCTCTGTTCTCAAAATGAGCTGCAACCTCATTGTTTAATAATAAATTATTAAATTACACAGTGTGCTGTGTAACTGCTGAGGGCTCATATGCAGCTCTTCCCATGGGCTGGCAAAGCCAGGGCAGATTTTGGAGCAGGAATTGCCATTTTATCCCTGGAAAAGGGGAGACTTTTAACCTCAGGTGACTCCAGTTGTATGAAACTATGCAAGGAAATGCTTTAATACCTTCTTACGCACTGGCTACTCAGGACTTCAGCTACTCCACAAAACACTCTCCAAAAATGTTTGGGATTTGGATTTTTTTCTTGCATCAGTAGTACCTTCCCCTACTATTACTGACTTTCTTGCAAAAAAAAATCTGTTATTATTTTTTCCTCCTTTCTTTGTTACACTGTTTCTCTGTGTTTGGAAATTTTTAAAGCATTCTGACTTTTATTTATTTTGCAAGTGTGAACATAACTAATGTGAATTTGAAACTTTTTTTAAACTTGAATAAAATATCTGTGAAATTATTAATCCTTGTTTCACAAGGAAACTTGCTTTTGGTTGTCAATATTCTGTAACTCTGAAGAGTTGTACAATTACCAATCACATATGGTGGTACTTGGCCCTTTAGGAAATCAAATCCTTTTCTGAAAAAGGCAGAGGACCTCTAAATTATGGGAGTTTTCTCAGATTATTTGAAGTGATTTCAAAGGAAAAAAAAAAAAGTCAAATCTGTTTCTAAGATTTGGCAGCACTCACCTAAGTGTTCTAAAAGAACAAATATGTAATTATTGAACTACTGAGATAGAGATTAAAAATACCTCTAAAATTCCTCTGAACATAGAGAAAGTAGCAAAGCCAATGCTTTTTAAGGTTTTAGAACGCATTGAGAATCTGTGTATAATTCAGATTGAGTTTGTCACTGAATTTTTAAATATTTTAAATATAAACTTTAATAATTACAAAATTAATGAACATGATAAACATTATATAACCAGGAAGTGTTAGGACAGATTTTGGAGGTTATGCCTCAGGTTTTTTTAGCATTTCTGGAAAAGAAAAACAGAATATTGTGGACTAAGGAGATCAAATTGATTAGGGTTTCCTAAGATTTCCAGGAAGCATTTCTAGGACATAAAGTGCTAGCAAAATATCTTTTAAAAACCTACTTTTTATAGGAAAAGAAATATCCTCATGAATGGGTTAACAATCCTTGAAGTATTAAAGGAACCATTTATGGAAATCACTTGGAGCAACAGAGTTTTTAGACAGGGAGGATAATGAGATTTAAGTCAAAAAAGCTGTTCAGAAATTTCATTACAAACAAATGGATAAATATTCCAATAAGGAATTGAAAAGCAAAGAAAAATCAGAGATGACAGAATAGAAACAGAGACAGACAGGTCAGGGTGAATGAAACTTCATGAAGCAGTAAAAAATATTTTAAACGAAGAAGAGCCATGTACACCAGTCAGGAGATGAAAAATAGTCTGGCCTAAAAACCAGGTCATGGTTTGACCTCTTTTTTTTTTTCTTTTTTTTTTTTTTTTTTTTTTTTTTCCAAGGAGGATGATTTAAATGTAGAAAATCCAGAATAACTAATAGGATGAGAGCACTGGAAAAAAAAAAAAAAAAGAAAAAAAAAACCAACAAACCCAAAACTATATTTAAAGAAAAAAAACCCAATAACTTCAACATGAAAATCAAAATCCAAAGGTGATGTAATAGAAGCATTTTAAGGCACAAAGGTCATTAGAGGAAAAATGCTGATGAATTATGCTTTCAGGGAAGCCACCTAGCAGGAGGGAGAGGAATAGGAAAGTTTCTCACAGATTATTGAATATTCTGTCTTTAGTATTATAACTAATGGCCACAGCACAAAAGTAGAAACATGTTCAAAAATTTGCAAAGAAAATGAGAAAGGTGTATCTGAAAAAAGGGATTTAAAATACCACATGGGAGGAAGGGGGTAACTTTGCATGTGAACTGTAGTATGAAATAATTTTGAAGTGCAAGAATAGTGTTCCTATATAATAATTATATTTCTATTCTGAAATAAGAAGCCAGAAGTTTGGGATATTGTGCTTTTTGAAGCACTTTTTGTATTTACAATGTTGCTTCCTCTGAAGCCATTCCCTCCTGTTCATAGTTATCACAACACAAAGCAGGTTATGCTCTTTTTTTCTTTGAGGAAAAAAATATTATTACATCATTACCTTTTACAGCAGCTCCAGATGAAGAGAATAACAAAGGAATTCAAATTCTTGAAGAAAATATATAAAGCCATCCCTGTTTTGGAATTAATTATGGTCTCATGTAGAATTTTCAAGGCTTCTCTAATGGCAGCAAGCAGAACATTTGCCTGAGCTTGGCAGATTATAGGCACTCTAAAGATCAAGATATATTATTAATTATTTCTGACAGTGTGTCTGTCCCATTGTCCACAAGCTGAAGTCAAACATGAGTTTTGCATACAGAATACATTTGTCTAGGAATACTGTTTAGTCCATTATTACAAGATATGACAGCTGTTGGCTTACAAACATTAAACTGATGAAATAATATAAAGTACATAAAATGAGATAAAATTAAAAATAGTTTGGTATCTGTCCTCATCCTTCAGTGGAATTATAGTTTTACATCTTTTCTGGTAATTACTTGGCTTTAGGAAAAAAAAAAAACCAAACCCACACACAAAAACCTTCGCATACTCCAGCAAAACTCAAAATTACTTCTTTCTTTAATAGGAATTCCAGGAATTTGAGGAATGAACTAAGAATTTACAAATAGCATCAGAAAAATTCCTGATACTAAAATCCCAGCAGTCAGTTGGAGCAGAGAAGTCAGGGGTCCCAGGGCTAAGGCATGAAGAGGGTGGGAGGGGGTGAAGGTCAGCAGGTGACAGGGCCAGCAGGACTTCCCCCAGCAGCTGTGGCCAGCCAAGATCCCTGTCCCACGGAACTACATCCCAGGATTAGCCAGTGGGACAATCCCCCCACAGGTTCAGGGGCTGTGGCACAGAGGAAGCAGATGTCAACAGGCCAGAAATACTCTTGTTTTCTCATCATTAATGCCATGAGATCAGGTTTAATTTCATGAGCACAAACACCATGGAAGCCAGCTGTGAACAAGACTGAAAACAAAATTATTTGCACTTGCACAGCTCCAAACTTTACTAATAGTCAGTGCTCAGTGCCATAAGCAGATTACACAATAGTTAGGCAGGTTACAAAAAGAAGGTTAGTGAGATTAGACAGGTTGCTGATTAACTGTAGCAACCAGGCTACCAACACAGCTTGGAAATTCTGGTTGCCAGGATAATGGACTGGTACAAACCACGTTATTCAGATTATTTCAGACACAGCTTTCCACATTTGTAGGTGTACCTTGTTCTCAGGTTAACTTGCTGTACTTTTTAATGTGTCTCCCATGCCATCCCACATTTTTCTAAGATGGGTAAAAGACACACAGAGTATGCTTGCAATAAGTAGTAAAAGCAAACAATCAAAAAATCAGCTTTTGGTGTGTGCCATTCTTTAAGCTCTGCTCTGGGGAGCTCCATCCTGTAACACCTTCATCCCCAAGGTACTGGAATTGCCAAGGGCACCATCCCAGCTACTCCAGCAATGAGCTCTCAGATCAGCCTCACAAACAGCTGCGTGTGAGGTAACAGCACTCAAAAAGGACCAGTTTGGGGTTTTGAACTCTGAGTCTTCTAACCAAAACTGCAGCTGCAAACATTGCTCAGCAGAATTCCAGCCCAAAGTGCTGCAGTTCATCTGGGGCTGCTCATGCAAAATATCCACTCCGAACACACACCTACAAATGGGTTCATAAAATCTGTGATACAGCAGAATGATGAGACTTCCCAGGGCAGTGAGAGTTCCTGTATCCCTTGCTTGTTAAGCAGACTCAGTTTATCCCTGGGTGAAGCCTTCCTTCTCCTGGTGCTCTGTTAATGCTGATTTACTTCAGGCCTAGTGAGCTGAGGCTGAGTTGAACTCTGCTCCAGGAGCTCACTGGGTACCTGTTTGCCTGTTCCAGCTTGTTCCTGACCCTGAGAACTGGCACACAGCCCCTCTTGTTCCCACAGCTCCCTCTCCTCCCTTTCCCACTGAAAGGCAGCTCACTGTTACCCAGAAAAAGCCCTCAGTTGCCAACCAGCCACACAACTCCTGGGTAATATTCAACTTTGTGTAAAAGGTAACTAGGAAAAAGCTGTTCAGGTTTATGCAATAGTCAATTCTCTCTCAGACACCTCACAGGCAGCACCACAACCAGCTCAGCTCTCTGCTTTCCCACCCTCATACAGAGCCAGCAGCTACAAAATGTGGAAAATCCCAAAATCCTATTTGAGGGCACCCAGTTGAACTCTGCACTGGTAACCTGTGACTGCACTCGATTTAACACTAAATGAAAATAAAATTCACCCTGGAAGATGGTTCTGTGGAATAGTACTCTTTTTGAGTCAGAGTTGCCACATCCCAAAGAATTTCCATTCCCTGCTTCTGCTGGCAGCTGAAGGGGCAGGGAAACCAAGGGGGGAACATCCAGGACCTTCCAGCACTGTCCCTGCTTTCCATCACGTTCTCACAAGTCTTGTATCTTGACAAAGAAAGCTCTACAAAGTCTGCAAAAAGCTTTGAACTCCTCAGGCAAAAGACATTCTGGAAGGGATAAATATTAGGATAAAAGAGCCAAGTCTGTAGATGAGATGCCTGGAGGTTTCTCAGAGCAGAGTACAAAATTATCCAAAGAAGCTGCACATCCCAATTTGTCCACTTACACAGATCATCTTGCAGTAACCAGGTAGTTTCTACTATGGGGTTGGATTTGGGGATTTTTCTTTAAATATTAGATTATCAGAGCCTCAGTAAAACACATTGTCTAAACAATGAACACAGAGCTGCTGAAAATCTGCTTCCCTTTTATTTGTGACTTATGCTCCATCCTAACTCACTGCCACAGTCTCCTTTCATACATCACCCACTCAACACAAGCCTCCAGCTCTGCTGTTTCCTTCAGGCAGCGTCCTGCAAAACAATGGAAAATATCATAGCCTGATAAATTATTTGTAATTTGTGCATTGATTGCTGTGGATACATAAATGAGAACAAAGGGCTGAAGCAGAAGAATGTACTTGGTAAAGTACCTGTGAATTTTTTTATACTTTACCAATGTCTGCTCTCAAAGAACTGTTTGAAATGAACTAAGTTTGTTTCAGGTGACAGGGAGCAGTCCCTCTCCTCTCTCCTGGCTGTTGAACAGGGTCCAAGGTTTGTAAAGTCCAGACCAAAAAGTCCTTCTGAGCATCCAGTAACTCTACTGAGCTTGCTGAAGTAGTAGAAATAATCTCAGGAAAACACTCCAAAAAGAACAGAAGTTCTTTCCAGCCGTTTTGGTGAGGATTAGTGGATGCAGAAGGGGAGGGAAGATCAGATGACTGCTAATAAAGATGGGGAAGCAAAGAATGAGAGGAGCTGTTCATTTATCTCAGTGAGAACACACAAGCACAGCCCAAGTGTGTTTTTCTTTTTTTTCTGTTTCATGTACATAAATCAGTTCTCAAATGCACCCAGGGATCTGACAATCATTTCCCCCAGACTTCTGTTTTAAGCCTAGCACATATTTTTGGTGGCTATTTTGGAACTATGACAGTCTTTCAGGGTTTTTATTTGTTTGGGTTATGGCTTTTTGGAGGGAGTGAGTGGGGGATTGTGTAAGGGTTTGGGTTTTTTTTTAGAACTTCCTGCAGCATAATCTCTTTGGACTCTGTATCCCGGACAATTTGCTGCAGAACATCTACTTATATCCCAGTCACACAAAGAACAATCACAACAAGAAGTATTGTACTCTCTGCTATAAACACTGGTAGAACAAAATAGTAAGATTAAGGGGAAAATAGTTAAAAATAGAACTCTTTTCTTTCCAAAGGAAATAACATGATTTTCACCCCAGCCTCTCTTGTCATTGTTACAACAATGGTTCATTTTAGGCTGTATCTGACTGCACTTGGAATCAGGAAACCCTGACACAAATGTGCTACAGCAGCTTGTGCTTTGTTTGCACTGAATGCCTGGGCCAGCACTGCAGGTTTCAAGTGACTTGCTAGAGATTAACAGAGCTGTTCCAGGGGTAACATTTTCCTAGAGCACAATTCCAACCATATCCCAGTGCTCCAGAGCATTGGAAACTGCAGGTCAGGAAAGTGAGGGTGACTTGTTGCAGCATCTCAGCTCTCTGGATAAACTTGGCCATTTTGTACTGGGGCAGGTGTTCAGTGGCTAACTGCTGATCGGGCCTGGATCCCAGCTTCAGAAAAGAGGGATGTGTGACAGAAAAGCACTTAACAGCACATTTCCAAGCATTTATTCCAGGAAGATCCCTACCATTGACTTTGCAGGAAGTACAACTCAGTTCTCAGGATCTGACCTGTTAGACTGGATTTTTTTATCTATCCATTCCCCTTAGCCCCAGATCAGACTTGTTACCTGCTAACTGACATCCCTGGAGAACATGGAAGCATTAGGATATCTTATCTACATCCCCAGAATTCATCTTCACTGCCACCACCAATATAGTGTTGTTTCTCTTCACAACACAGCAAACACAAAATTCATGTTGAGGCTGCTTGCTTCTTTTCTAACTAATAAGATCCTTTGATTATTCCTGTTATTTTTCCCAGTCAAAAGCTAAAAAGCCATTTCAGGCTGTTTTCAATATCAACAGACAGTAAGGGAATGCCTCTATTTGCACATTATTTGCATATTTGCACATTAGTGGTGCAAAATCTGCCCTCTTTCCCCGTTCCATCTTTTCCAGTACAAGAAACAAACAACAAGTCACCTTTTATATATTTCAAAAGTCAAACCACCTCAGAGGAAGCACAGGAACTGGAGAGCAAACTGCCCCATCCTGGCATCACACATCCACATTTCCTCTGATAAGCAGTTTCTCATTTTCTAGAATAAAGATTTCTCCTTTTTTCCTTTTCTTTGAGCTTGGATTTTTAACTCTTCCATTTTAGAAGAACATCTGGCTGCATTTCATGTTGTTCCTCTGGGTTTGCACCTCCTCTCCATGCAGAATCCCTTCCAGACAGGCTCTTGTGTCCTCCAATTTAATTAATACTCTGCCCTGGGAAGGGGGAAAGACACCACCTGATAAATGTTCATTTGAAAAACAGACTAAATGTTTTCTGCTCAGCCTCAGGAGTCTGAACAACCATTTGAAAAAGTGAGGTGGGAAGTCTGGTCCTTGTCAGAGAAGTGGGTGCTTTGACAGAAACAGGGAACAGCATCTCACCCACATCTTCCTCAGGACTCATTTTAAACAGTGAAAATAAATGTTATAGCTGGGCATGTTCCACAAGGAAAACAGCAGAGTCCCCACCAGCAGTAGAAATTTGCTATATTAAAGCTGTACGTTATCTTGTCAGCATGCAGAGCTCTTCCTCAGCCAGTCCATTAATGTTAATGAAATCCCATCTGTGTTTCCCCATCCCTGGGTCTGCCCAAGTGCACTGCTGATTCCATTCTGAGGCAGCAAGATGCTGGCAGCCACAGCACTCACCCTTCTCCAGCTGTGTGGGAGATGGAACAGATTCATCTTTCTCCACATCTGCAGCAAAGTTTCATGCTCAGGGCTCTCTACCTCTCAGCTGAGGCTGCTGGAGACTGTAGCTCTTCACTTCTGGTCTCTCCATTAGGATTCCTTCCCAATTTCACTCTTCCCCAGAGCTGTAGGGGAATAATCTGGCCAAGAGAATGCTCTTAAGACTATGATGCTTGGTGTTCCTGCTGGGATGATTTACGGGCATCTTCAAACCTCTGGAATCATTTAAAATTAAAAAAAAAAAAAATAATTAAACCATGTTTTATAAACCCAAAACTAACTTCACACTCAGTCCAACAACTCCCTTAAGGAATTCCAAAGAATGGAATTCACCTGCACTGGAGTTTCTCCCAGCTGTTTAATCACATCAGAGTTCTGGCAAATGCTTCCCAGGCAAGGGGAGCCTGGAGTTCATTCCAGTGTGGGGATCCCCACGAAGACATAAAGCTCATCAGCTTCTGAACAAATTAAATTTGTGGTCAGAGACAAAAATAACATCAGAAAGTGTCCAAGATTGGCTGCTTTCATTCTTTCCATGTATTTGGATGATGGAAGAAATTAGAATAGAGTAGTGTGCTGCTTAAGTGACCAGAAGTGAGGAGACTTCGGGGACAATCAGTTGTTCTCACAATTGATGTTTCAAAGCACTGACAGCACTGGGGGAAAAACACCACTTTTTTCACCCCTTCCACCAAAAAGTAAAGTTACAGGTCAGAGTCACCTTATTAGAACAGCAGATGCATTAGCAGAGGTAGGAATCAATCCAGTCAATAAAGGAATTGATACCTGCCTATAGTTAGAAAATGCCTTTTACAGAACAGGCTGTTCTTCAGGATCATTGAGAAATGGCAGAGTTTTATTGAGTTTCTGAACACACAGTTACATGTATAATTGATATTGTCTCACTGCCAGACATCTAGAATGTTTTAGGATTTTAAATGTTCTGTTCTTTTGCTGTTTCCTTCTCAAGAATGGGTCTAACAGTTATGGGGAAAAGAGGAGACATGGAAAAGAGCTAGGCATTTCCTCTATAATGAGCAGGGGGCTGGTATACAAAGTTTAAGATGGTGGATAGAGTGACTACTCAGAATCCATTGAGCAGGAAAACAGGATTCAGGTTTCTCTTTCTGACCCACTGTGGGGTGGCAGGACAGTGACTTTCTGCTTCTCCGTCCTAAAGTAGAAATAATATCCATCCACATTCCCAATATTCACTGAGATTTCTGGGCAGACAGCCTTGCACATGCAGAGTACTCTGGGAAAATGCAAACTGGATTTCTTTAGGATCAAGCCCACCAAGAGATGCCTCCCAACCACAAGGGGTAAGCTGGTCCCAAGGACTAAAGGGCTATTCTGAAGTAAATTCCTTGAAACCTGGACAGAGCATCCCTGGGCCTGTGGCACTGACAGCTGCCCTCTCCTGACTGCCACACCTCAAGGAGGTGCAGGGAAAGACCGGGAATAGGCACAGCACAGTGGTAAAGAGGAAGACACAGTGGGGATAAAAATGCTTAAACTTTATGCTGTTTACTTGTTATTCTCTTTTTGAGAAGTCCAAAGGGGCACCAGCTGTGCAGAAAGACTGACTTGGTGTGATGGAGAAAATATTTTCTTAAGGATATAAAAGCTCACAAACATTCCAAGAAGGAATATCTAACTTTGACTTCACCTATTCCTTGAACAGATATTTTATTAAGATGGGATTCACAGCATGAGACAACTCAGTGGTATTATTCCAAGTAATCAGTCTTCTCAGCAGGTCAAATAAATAATGTTACCACTGATGTCATCAAGAAGTGAAAATGTTGGCAAGCTGGCATGTTTAATTCTCTGAAACTATATATAAAAAAGTAAAAGATACTTAGCAAATATAATCCATACCATTAATACTATATTCTCTTAACCCTTCACCTCAGCTCCAAAATAATTGAAAAGTGGGATTTTTGAAGTGGGTAACAAATTTGGGGTTTTTTTTCCAGCTTACTCTCTCTCTAATACTATCAAAAGTTAAACTTCTAAACACACAATCTTACAGCTCTTCACTTATGCAGTAAAACTGTTTCTCTAAGAAGCATTCAGAGAATAACAGAAGAAGCAATGAATTTTTTTCTCTTTTATATATCAACAGATAGTAGGTATAAAAGCAGAAAAGTAAATATAACTCTTAATTTTTGAGAAGAAGATGAAGGAAACACTAGGATTTTTGTAAGAGATGAACATGGGCCCCAGAAGCAAAACAAAATCAAATTAATAAGCACCAGCAGAATGAAGGTGAATTTTTATGCAGTCTTGCTCCTCATGAGTAACAAACAGCATCAAAATTACTTTGGTGTTACAGAGCCTTTAAAAATCTCATTTTGCACCAGTTGAAGTCAGGAAGAGCAGTTTGAAATAAACAGAATTTCACTCTTCAGATGCAACTCAAGCTGCATGTCAGCACATACTCCTGCTTCCTATTTTTAGGAAGAACTAAAGGCAGATTCACCAGCCACCATTCAATTACAATTAATATAATGGCAAAAACTTTGGCTTTATTACCTTTCTTTCATTTGAATTTCCAAGTAATCTCTTTTTTTTTTTTTATCTCTTGGATATTTCTGAGAATAAAGTGCACAGTTTTTCTTCAGTTAAAACAGAAATAGCAGCAGATCAATACAGGTTTTCATCAGAACAATAACGACAAAATCCAATATGTCTCATGGAACCATAATTTATACTCTCCACAGAGGTGATTTTCTATTGGTGAAGTCAGTAAGACTTTCTTCATGAATAAGTTTCAGTTAGGAATTGGGTGAACTCACCTGGAAAAGCTACCTGTCCATCACAAATCTATGAGTTTTCACAATTTGCCATAAAAACATTGCCAGGAACATGGAAAAAGACCAAAACATTATGCCTGACAAGCACTACATTGAAATAGGAAGGTCTCCATAGTTTGATTTTTGGTCCATCTCACTTTACTGACACACCTTTACACTCAGAAGAAGTGATAAAAAGAAGGGGAGCTGAAAAAATTGAGAGATGTAAGTTTTGATACTGACAATGACTGTTCAACATCATTTCAGGGAATACAGAGCAAGACACTTGCACTCTTTTCACATCCCTTCCAGGGGTTGTCTCACATGAAAAACACCCTGATGTCAGCAGTAATGGTTACATCAGAAATGCCAGGATTAGGACACTGGGAAAACCACCTGGAGCTGAGAATGCTAAAGTATATGGAGAGGTAGAAGTGATCTCATTATTTCTACAGCACTTCCTAGAAAAGCTTTAGGTAGCCCAAGGAATGGAGCACTTCAATAAAGAAGAGTGTTTTGTCAGGATCATCAAGTGGATCATTATCCAAGAACCAAGTTCTGCTTCCTCAATTAGGAGATCCCAAATGCTCTTGTATTTCCATAGGACTGCTCCTGACAGCATCCTGAGTCGGATGGACTCCTGCTCACTTCTGTCCAGAAAAGATGCCAAGTGAAATGGTTCTGGAACCTTAATCCAAATTCTCATTGCTGTATGGAAGAGGTTTGCATATGATAAAATCACCAGGATTAGTCACACTACAGAGCAGAAGAACCTCATGACCACTGAGCACAAATCTGTGCTTGGAATTGCAGTGCAAAAATAGTTCCCAAGAGTTTGTAATCTAGGTGGTTAGGGCAGTAAAAGTTACATTCTTATGAAACACAAGCCTTATAGGCACACTATCACATACTTAAATAATGACCTAGCCTTTATTCCAAACTGATTTTATCAGTGTTTTTACCTTCTACTTCAGAAAAATACTACAGTGTGACTAATTCCCCCAGGGAAAAAGAAAAGTAATTAAGAACAGTCGCTCTCAATAGAAACAATACCTCTTAATCAATGCTTTAATGCTTTGTTAAAACTGCTGCTATTAGGGAAATGGCAAAACCCAGATTTACACCTTACCCGCAGGTCTCCTGATGGCTTTGAGCAAACAAACAAAAATACATCCTTTGGGCCAGCAATATCCTCTGCCAGACACTGAGGTGTTAAAATTGTACCAGTAATTTTCTGTCCGGCTGCCAAGATCCAAGTGTAATTTAGGCCTTTGTGAAATTAAGGAATCTGAATAAATTAAATTAAGGATACACAAGGTACAGTTCCACAATTAAGAAGGAAATTAATACACCTAATATTTATAATATAATATAAAGAATTTCTACTGTCAGAAGTATAAAGCTTGGAATTTCCTTGAATAAAAATTCCTAACTCTCTGAAATTTGCATCCTCAACAAAACCAGAACAAAAATGTAGGTTAGCATCCCAGCTAAATGAGTATTGAATCTTAATCCAATATAATATAACACTAATTTGTAAAAGGCCAGTTCTCAGCTAACCAGGCATGTGCCTTTGATTAGATTTATTTTATCACTTATATTTAGAAAAATCACTTTTCTCATTAGTCTGGACTTCAGGAAAGCACTTCAAATGAGGAGCTGGTTAAAATGGAGACAAGAATATCCCTGTAGGATGAGACATATGAGCCAGGGAAGAGAAAAACTGGAAAGCATTAGGCTAAAGGAAGGCTGAAATTGATTTCGTTTAATAACCTTTGAAATGAACACTGGAGAGAGGGAGGAAAGGCAAAGGAAAGCAGGAGTCCTAATGGCACAGGTCTGGGAACACTAAGAGCTGGATGGTAGCAGCTGCTCTTCACACTGCTGGCTGCTAATTTATTTGGATTTGATACAGTTGCCAGAACAAAGTCATGACAAAATAACATAAACCACAATTCCTTACCCCTTCTGAGATGAATTGACAGGTTTTTTAACAGCATGTAGATGTCTCCCAAAACACCAAGCTTTACTTTCTATAAACCCCCACTGATTGAATGGAAGCAGACATTTTAAAAGGCCACAAAAATGCCTTACAGGTCACCAGTTATGAGGAGGTAGATGTATTTCTTCTATTTTTCATGGTGAAATGAATCTGAACATGTGGCAGCCTGAAGGCTGATGCTCCTGGACACTACAACGAAGTAACTTGAGTACAAATCCTGCCCCTAGAAATGAAACAAAAGTCAGTGTTTCTGAAGTCCTACCCAGACCCAGTTATAAAGGCAGAGATAATGACACAATAAAGGAGCTCCCTTCAATAGCTGATACTCCTGATTGCAGCAGCACTGCAGCCAAAGTATGATTTCAGTGTTCAGAGCAATCACTGCTTTTCTGGAAGGATAAAGTGTCAAAACACA